TCCAATTCCTCACCAGTGTTCACAAATTGTGGAACGTAGACTCTGCAGTTGTTCAGATTGCAGCGGGCGTGGGGGGGCTAGGGGTGGGGGGCCCAAGAGCAGTTGATGCTCTTCACTAGAACGAGATGCAATTAAGCCCAGTACCTCCCTTCTCTACCCCAGCCCCCCTCCCTCCCTTCTCTTCCCCCCCACAAAATAGCTGTATAAATAGTTTTTTTTTGATAATTGTGTAAACACGCAAACACTACATTTGGATTTACATTGTGTGTGCTTACTGACTGTACATTTGTCACTTTTCAATAAAAGATTTGTACTTTATATTGCAGAGAATTCTCTGCCCAGTTATTGTGCTGTAATAATTATATTTGACACAGTGCCTTTCACATTGGCAGGTTGTCTCATAGCATTTATAAAGTGTAGTGACTGTCTATTTTGTAGGTAGAGGCCCTATAATATTTTTATCTAGATAACCAATAATTGAGCACTGACTATTGTGTGAGGTAGGGGGTGTAGCACAGTTTTGAGACATCCTCCTAACCTGAAAGGCACTATTTAAATGTATATTGCTGCTGTTCTTGCATTTATTTTATACATCACAGAAACATCTCAAAGTGCTTGTGCTGCTCCTCTATATTCCAGATGCAGTCTATGTTGCAAACTCTAGTCCTTGTCCCAAAGATAGATGTCTTTTACAGTGAATGAAAAGGGCAGGGATATATTTCCCCATAGCATCGTAGTTAGCATGCTCACCTCGCAGTGGTTACCACAAGGTCCCGGGTGGGGCAAAACCGTAGCCAAGTTTCCTTACTCCCCACACCTCTGTTTACCAGCGGTAAGAAAGAACCCAGTTGCTAGTCGATTGGCAGATCGCTCTCGGGGGTGGGGGCGGGAGGGGTAACAATCCCTCCTTCCAAAAAATATGGTCACTCAATCCACGACTGTGTGAGACACTGCTGTGCACAATTGGCTGCCATTTTTCACCCACAAATAATCAATCCACTTTACAATGTCTCAAAGACACGAGAAGGCGCTGTATCAAATGCAAGGATTATTATTATAAAATACTGCGGATGCTGGAAACCTGAAACAAAAGCAGAGTGGCTGGAAACACTCAGCAGGTCAGGTACATCCATGGAGAAAGGAAAATGGTCAATGTTTCGGGTCCACGACCCTTCTTTGGAACACCCGTTCTGACGAAGGGTCACGGACCTGAAACATGACCCGCTTTCCTTTCTCCGAGGATCATTATTATGTTTGGTATGAAAGCATTCCTACTTTCCTTCTCTTCACCCTTGACGCCTTATCTCTCCCCCCCACCCCACACACGCACAATTCTTTGGTTTTGTAAACAAAATTTCACTTTACTCCAGTGCTAGCCGCTACTTAATTAGTTTATCTCAGTGGCTTCTGCTTGTGGTTACATCCTACACTGGGGCCTTGGCCCTTCACCTTGACTTTCCATTAAAGCAACCACTTGTGAGGAATTTGGCAGAGGATGGTGTTGATTTACTGCCACCTCGTGGCACATCCTCTGCACCTCTGGAAGAAACAAGGCCAGTGGAGAAAGGGGTTTGGAATAAAGCTGGCATCTATCGTGCAAACTTAGGTTTCAATAAATGTCTCACATATCTCGCGCCCCCCCCACCCCCGCCCCCCTTACCATTATTTAACCAGGTTGCATAACTAAAATTACTATTTTAAATCTCATTGATTTTCAGATTTTTTTTTAGGAATCTTCATTCATTCAGGTTTAGTTTGCCGTCTTTTGGATAAGGTAAACCAAGGTGTCGTCTGTAACTGTTTCAGGTGGACAAAGATCCTACCACGTGATTGGAAACCAGAAGGGAGTCACTCCCACGGTCTTGGCCAACAATCCACCCATAAAATAGTCATTCACTTCAATGCTGTGCACAAAGTGGCTGCCAACAAACAGTCATACTTGGTGACGTTTCCTTTCACACATTACAAGCACTGCATCAAATGCAAGGATAATTATAATCATCAACTACTCTTAGATTGCAGTCAGTCCACCGAGACACTGCCTTGTGTGAAAGGCTCTATATATAACCACAAGTTGTAATTCTGCACGTACCGACTTGGGAGGCAGATGTTGCTCCGACAACGGGAATGGTTGGACAGAATAATTTATATTTAGTCAATTAGGAGGAAAGGGACACAGTTAATACATTCAAACATCAAAATGCAATTTGCTTTCTCTAATTTGCAGGGCTATGGGGAAAGAGCAGGGGAATGGGATTAATTGGATAGCTCTTTCACTGGCACGATAGACTGAATGGCCTCCTGAGCTGCAGGATTCGATGATCAAGGCAATGGATAGTTATTATCTATAGCTGAATGGGCAGAATGATCAGAGGGATTCAGGGAGTTCAATTCAAAACATCAGGAAAAAAATAAAAGTAAATTTGTAGCATAAGAGACATGAACACTTTGAAGTTTGAAAGCCTCTTGCCAAGAACCATCTCAACTCCAGGCCCACATAAAACAATACCTCCTCTGGCATGGCTACAGCCCTGAAGCAGGCAAGGTCACATTTACACAAGAATAAAGATTAGACTGAACTGGAATTCAACTTTGTACTGGGTAGCGGGGGTGGAAGATGGTATTTTTGGAGGTGAGGGAGAAACAAGGAAAAAAGGTGGGCTTGTTAAGCCATTACATAGCTTCTTCCAGCAGACATCAATGTACCCATGACGAGCAGGGATGATTTATGAAAACAAGCAAGGCTTCAGGGCATTACATCCAAATGATAGGCTTCGTCAGTGCTGTGGTTATGGAAACCTTCCCTGTACTCTTTTTAAACAAGGAAGCAACTGGAAAACATCCTGGAATCATTTCCGTCCTGCAGAGGCCCGTGAGCGCAGGAATTTGGCATATACCCAAAAAAGATATACAATCTCACGATCCTGTTCCATCACCACCACAGCTGGCAGGCTTGGGTGCACTAATGTGTACCCCAAATACACAATAAAAATCACCAACTTGACTGGTTGAGTGACAATTGAGTTCAGGAAAGAGGTTATATATGATGCAAGATCTTTTGCAGTTTCTTTTGCATTTATAATTAAAGTCCCCCTCACCTCCAAAAATACCATCTTCCACCCCCGCTATCCAGTACAAAGTCACTGTGACACCACTCACAGGGCTGCATGCATTCCTGCTCATTACAAACCTGGAGAAGTCCACGACAGGAGAATTTTTGGAGTACTATTGTGGACACAGGAAACGCTCTACCTCTTGGTTCATTTTCCGCATTTGGGGTTCTAATTTGAGGCATTGCAACAGGCAAATCTCTTCCAGCTTTATATCAAAGCTGGTCTGAGGAGCAACATGAAAATAACCTGGGGATAATAATAATAACGCTTGCATTTCAAATAGCGCCTTATCATGTCTTCTGACATCTCAAAGCGCTTCACAGAATATACCTTAAAGTGAATTGACTATTTTTTGTGGGCTAAACATGGCAGCCAATTGTGCACAGCAGCGTCCCACAAACAGTCGTGGATTGAGTGACCCAATTTTTTAAAAAAAGGAATTATTACCCCCAGAAGTGATCCACCAATCGACTAACATTCAGGTTCCTACTTACTGCTGGGTAAACATGTGGAGTAAGGCATGTGGAGTAAGGAGACTTGCCCAACATTTTGCCCTGCCAGGAATTGAACCCAGCTCTCTCGTGCAAGGCGAGCGCTCTCACCATTCAGCTGCAGGACTCCACTTGTTCTGATCCCTATCGCTCAGTTAAACTTGGCATTCTCTCCCCAACATTGTTAGGATCAGCCTTGTCAGGTAGATGTCCGTAACCTCAGGAGCACCACATGTTAGAGCTCTAATGCATCGCCACCATGTTCCATGTGGTTACTCAAAAAAGGTGAAAGGCATTCAATTTGCTGCATTCATAAACTTGACTTGATGTGCTAATCGCAGTGTCACAAACCAGTTCATTTGCCATGGAAATGCCCCCAAATTATATACATATAGAAAAAAAAAGTTGTTCTAAATTAACTTTTCTTTCCAAAAATAGTTATTAAACAACAAATTCACAGGAGCAGAAGGATGATTAGAAACTGGTGCTAGAGATTAGTTCAGCTTTACAACCCAGCTTTAACCTAGCTCAGTGCCAGCAGTTGTAATGTTCCAGTGGAGCATTGCCAAGCCAGTGTGCACATCTGCAATACTTTAGCAGCCAACATTAAATCTGCCGAACAGAAGAGTAAAACAACAAGGCTTTGGTTTGAAAGCCAACACTGACATGCAGGTGCTGTTCTTTTAAATGAAAAATCATCCGTACCATTACAGTACTAACGACTGTGCTGTTCCCTTTAATTTTCCAAACCACTCAATTCCCTCTAGACATCAAGCCACGTAGCACAGTACGAGCACATTCGGCCAGTTGTGTGATCTCAGCCACCCCTCGACCTGCTCTGGCTGAGGACAGAGATTGATACAGGTTCTGAAAATGGCAGGCACTTCTCGGAAGCACTTCATCCACTGCAGTTCAGAGAAAAAGATCTTCCTCAGCTTTTCTCTGTAATTTCAGACACACGCTGTTCCTGTTACCTTACCCCAGCAAAATTATGGGCATTATGGTTTTCAGATGAGCTCATTTTGGACTCATCTTAATTTTCAGAATGTAGTAAATAACTAATATTCCAAAGCACACTCCTAATAACTGAGTGATATTCACTGTTCCTTTTGGTGCTGTGAAAAGTTTACCTTGTGACTCAAGCAGTCGAGATGGGCCCAATATTTCAGAGTTTTACGGCTGTTTGTGGGGCACTGCTGTGTGCAAACTGGCTGCCGTGTTTTACGCACAGACAAACCACATTAGAGTTCATCCTGTGAAGCGTTTGAGATGTTGCGATTAAATAAGATGATGTATGAAATGCAAATATTATTATTCTCATTATAATCAAATGCAATGATGTCACCATGAGCAGAAGAGGTGAGAATGAGAGCAAATAAAACTCAAAGTGCTCTGCTTTTTCCTCTTCCCTAAAGTTTCCCTTTAATATTTATTGAGAAAAATAATCTGGGTCGCAAAATGTTTTGTCACAAAACTGCCCAGTGCGTTGCTGCCGCTGATTTGATTTTTCTGCATTGGGTGCCAGGTAGCAGAATACGTGGCAATTAGTCCATTCAGCAAATTCCTGCGGCACTTAAAACATATTTCATGTACACAAATAGTCCCATCCATTTAAAAAGGAGAGTGTGCGCCTGTTAGCTTAGGAGGCAGTACCTGACAGTATATAGACAATAAGTTTATGCTCTTAACATTTAAGAACATTCAAGACAAATATTTTGGTTGCAGAACTTAAGTTGGTAAAAACATAAAGTCAGTATTGCACTGACCGTTGGCTTGTGTTCATTTCCAAGAAATGGGAATATCTAAGTAAACACAGCAGATCCCAGAGCCCTCGAAAGGACTTCATCCAACCATCAGAGAAGATAAATTAAGAACAGTATTTTAAGGGGGAGGTAAGTGCTGGTGGTATGCTGGTACCAAACTTGTAAAGTTTGCCTTCAGTCTGTAGGAAGTACCCAATGAACAGTTCTGCTTTCACAATGTCAGAAGCCATCATCAATGGGACCAGTGCAGGAAATCTAAAAAAAAAAATTCCTTTGTCCAACACTTTTGAAGAGCTTCCTTATTCAGGGGGTGGGATTGTTCCCCCTCTGGAAAGTTCAATAAAGTCATGAATTTAATCATGTAATGCTGAACAGGAGGCAGGAGAAATGTCCATCTCAAGATGAAGAAATGCAAAACGGCCATTCAATAAGTCTAGTCACCAGCTTCAAGCACAAACGGCTTCATACCTACAACACAAACAAGACACCTGGATTTCAGACAGACTGCAGTGAAATTACCAGTGATTAACTGCACACATCAGATAATAATCCCTCAAAAAAATAATAAATTGGTCATTTCAATCCATGACTGTTTGTGGGACACTGCTGTGCACAATTCGCTGCTGCATTTCGCCCACAAATATACAGTCAATTCACTTTATAGTTTATTCTGTGAAACGCTTGAGACGTCTAGAAGACGTGAAAAGCGCTATATCAAATGCAAGGATTATTATATTAACCGAACAGCTAAATGATCTTAAATTCATAGTGTTTTTAGCAATTGCACCACTAATACAATTTCTCCATTATAAATGACACATCACCAAATGCTTTACGCATTTAATGCCAACAGGGATCAGTCTCCCCTTGCCCCACCACTTGTATAATTTGTGGTTGGTCTTAAACAGAAAACGCTTCACAAAGGAATAAAAAGCAAAATTTCAGAGGGAGACAACAGAAAACGCAAAAGGAACTCTGCTGCACAGTCCTTATGCTGTTTCAGTAAAGCCAGCTCTGGTAATGCATAGTCACTGTCTTGACTGCTGGAATTACCTTGAGGAAATAGTTCACTAGGAATGTGACTTCACAACCTAGTCACTTTGTTGTCTGCTGATCTGCTAATGCTATTGATCCTGGCTCTTTAACAACATTGATATGTTGAACAGTGTTCTACAGGGCTCTCCTCACACAGCTATTTAGTGACAGATATAAAAGGGGTTCCCCATTCCCAAATCGCTATCCTGTTGGTAATAAATGAAGCCAGAGGAGATTAGTGAGGGATCAGAGAGAGAAAAAAAAACAATCACCTTGTCTCATCCAGGTTCTCTTCCTCCTCCACCACACTTCCCTCGTGCTCCAGCTCCATGTCCAGCTCGTTCCCAAGCCCAGAATCACCAGGCACCACAAAGGCACTAAAATACACATTGTGCATCAGATCATTTGGAAATATGCCACCTGGTTTACAGTTTTTAATCAGAGACAGACATGAAGATTAAAACATTAAAGAGAGAACATGCTGGCTGTTTAACGCTATTGCAGTCTCAAACACTCCATATCTTCAATTGTCAATTGTTAAATGGGGCAGAACAATTTTCTGAATTGCAAAAATATTGATGTTTTGCTCGGCACACAATTGACACTCATGGATTATAGATCACATTCAGCCAAGCTAGTAATTCCTCATCAATTAAGAATAATGCTTCATTACACCATGGATCCCAATGATCATTACATGATGCTGGCGATAATTGCAAATGAGTGGTGTTCTGCATAAACTTGCTCAGCAAAACACAAAAGTGACCAGTAATATAAAAGAACGGGATTTGGTGGCACAGGGAGATAGAATGCTTTTGGATCCATGTTCAAATCCTGTCCTGATGGAATCGAATATCCTCTATAAACTGGAAACCATTTGATTTTTAACATTTTACTGATGCAGAAACGCCTAATACAACACTCAGTCAACCGACTCCAAATGTTCTCACCTGACTGAGCGACAAGTGAAGAAAACAATTCTCTTCAGTCTCTGATTATAAAAGAAGTAGTTGAACGACCACAAGTTACCTTCTTCTCCATAGGGATCAGAGTCTAGATCTGGGTTATAGCTGTAACAAGAGACAAGTCTCAAACATCAAATAACATCAAGGCCAATCTTGTTCTCACCCAATATCTATTTGCATGTTTCCAGGAAGGACATTAGATAGCAGAAGACGTAACCCATTCTCTCGAATCCAAAGGACAATTATCACATCACATTTTTGCCCAGGATGCTGTTTACCTGAAAATTTCACATTCTGAAAGACAGATCTCATCATCAATGGCCTGCCACAGTTCAGGCTTGAGCTGGTTAAACTGCTCCCCTGCAGCTGAAGACAGGCTCCCATTTACTGCATTTGCAACCTGGAAACACAGCCAAAAAGCAAGTAAAATACTGGAAATAAATTGGTCCTCATTTAAAATTGAAAACACACATTGTATGGACTACATTTTTTTTGCTTCCCCTGAAAGCTAATCCTAAATCAAACTCATGCTGGGCTACACATCTTCAGCATTCTGCTAACTTGCTCATAGTGTGAACCCTAGCAAAGAGCACCAATCTGCTATTTGCCATAGAGGGCATTAGAACCAAGTCTGATCTGATCACCAAGTAGCTGCATATTAATAAACAAATGTAAGTTATTAGCATTGTCTAAAACAAGATTACCTGCAAGATTCATTTAAATCATGCCTAGTTAAACTGCATTTACATTGCTGCATTTGTCTACAAATACCACGATCACTACAATTTACAGTAAATCCTGTAAAGTGTTTTGAGGCATTCTCCAGATGTGGAATGCAAAGATTGTTTTTTTTATTTCTTCGGGTTTAGCTAAACATAATTTATCAAGTACAACCGGTGGCTCACGCAAACACCAAATTACAGCTGTATTAAAGCCAAAACATGAATGTTAGAAATTATTTTAAATGAAACAGGATTTTCTTATTCTCCACCCCATCCACTTACCCAGTTGAGGCTGGGTTCTTTGCTGAAGTCATGGCTCTTTGCTTTGCTGAAATCATAGTCTGGACGGAAAGATGCATTGAGTGTGGCGATCAGGTAGAATAAGGTTTTGCGGCTACAATTATCGCTCAGTGGACTCTCACTGTCATCGCCACTTTGACTCCGACTTAGCCTGCAAGTAAAGAGGAAGAAAGAATCATAGATGGATGGGTTAATTTGTTAATTCACTAATACATCAAAAGTAAAGATTATTATAATTCAAGTGACAAGTTGTTGTGTAATGTTCTATTAATCTATAAAAGCACTCACTGAAAAATAAATAGAAAATCTAGGCAATTTTTCAAATGATTTACCAAACCAAAGCATACCTGTTGGGGCTGATGCCTGTAGTCTGGGGTGGGGAAAGAGCCTCAAGAATGTGTGGTCGGCCCTCCTGACAGAACTGCTTAAACATTTGTTTGTCTTCACCAGCCATTTTGCAGGAGTAACTCTCAATCCTGAAAATTCAACACAGAAAAGTGTTTGGATATGCTGTTCTCTCTCTTGCCCCCACCCTGCACCCAAAATCAGGCAGGGCATGGAAGGCCAGTGGCTTGGTTTCAGACCAACTCCATGCTGCAACACTCAGTGACCCCTCTTTTACTATCCACCTCCACTCAGGAGTTCCGTCCTGTGAGATGGACATCATAGACATGCAAGACATGGTGAGCAGAATCCCATATCCAACTGCTCCTATACAAACAATCCCATTCCCAGGAAGCTTGATAATACCTCAAAAAAATCATAATAATTTGGTCACTCAATCCACGACTGCCTGTGAGACACTGCTGTGCGCAATTGGCTGCGACATTTTGCCCACAAATATACAGTCAATTCACCGTACAATATATTCTGTGAAGAGCATCTTGAAGACATGATAAGGCACTATATCAAATGCAAAGATTATTATTATTATTAACTAAACTGGATGGAAGAAAAAAGATTCCAAGAGCCCTGATCCATCCTAAATGTTTAGAGGTTAAGCAAAAGCCAGGCCAAAAGTTAAACTGGATAACAAAACATATGGTACAGAAACATATAATCGTTATGTTAGAAAACAGCGCTATTGAGTACTATAAAAAAAATCCCTAGGGCATATTTTTCAAATTATATTAATGCATTTCTACAATGTTAATCCCATGTTGTCCACACTAAGTAACAACATTGAAGCATTTTCTGAACACAGACTGAGGAACATGGACTGCGCAGATTTTCAGCCATTGCTCGCTTTCTGTCAAACTTTACATTAGTGTGTTACGATCGCCCCTTTGTTTTCTATGCCTGCCTGTTGTTTAAAATACGTTCTGTAAAGTTTGTGTTCGCTAAAAGCATTAGCCAGCGTAAGTGCGGTTAGTAATTACCGATTGCGCATGGGGAAACTCTGAAAGTCCCGAAGTTCGGTGGAACTGACAGATTATAAATATATTGAGTAAGCCTTTAAATACATTTTTTATGTATTTAAGGTTTTTATACCTGTTACCACCAGGTCTTCAAAGGCAACGGTTGGAACAATTTAGCATTCTAATAAGCAAATGAAGGATTGGAAGTGTCCTGGTCCCTTGTTGGGCAACTGAGGGGAGGATCTGATTGGACTATGAAAAAGGCACCAATTATATCAAGTAATTGGCACAATACAATTATCATTGGGGTAATTGCCCTAATTTGGGGAAGGGCTCAACGCCCATAAAAGAACAAGCGTCATATACTTGGATCGCTTTTTTGTACCTAACAGCAACAAAAGATACTTGCTCTGGCTATTTGTGTTTCACCCACAAAATATACAGTCAATTCACTTTACAATATACAACAACAACGTTACATTTATAGAGCACCTTTCACGTCGGGAGGACGTCCCAAGGAGCTGTACAGTCAGGTGTTGGGGCCGGAGCACGGGGGAGGGAGGGAAGGCAGAGAGGTGGGAGGGAGACCAAAGGCACGGTCGAAGAGAACGGTCTTGAGGCCGGCCTTGAAGGAGGCGAGGGAGGAAGCGAGGCGAAGGGACCGTGGGATGGAGTTCCAGAGTGTGGGGGCAAAGAGGCTGAAAGCCCGGCCACCGATGGTAGGGCGGGAGACATGGAGCAGCCGGAGCCCGCTGAACGGAGGAGCGGGCAGGTTGGTAGGGAGTCAGCAGATCAGAGAGGTAGGAGGGGGCAAGGCCATCAATGGCCTTAAAGGTGAGGGGGCAGAGAGGCTGAACACACTCTGTGAAGCGCTTTGAGACGTTTTCACGCCTCAGTGTTTTCACGTCCCAAAAATGTGACGAGCTTATTGAGTCCATTCGCTCGAGAGCCAATGCTGGGAACTAACAGAGCTCCCATAAGGCGGTGATCAACAAAGATCCAACTCCCAAGTCGGGTCTTGGAAAATTTGAAGCTGGGAAGTTCTGACTTACCACTGAGTTCAAACACTTTGAGACACTGCCCCACATGAAGGGCGTTATATTGTTTCGCTGGTGTCGAGCTGAACCGGTATTGAATGTCAGAGACAGGTCCTTCAAAGTTACCGCACCACTCGGGTTAGCCAGAGCAGGGCAGGAGGATACAGACCGGTTGGAGGGACAGCAGTTGACGGTTCCAAATGCCAAACCACAGGGAAACCATAGGAGGGTCTGACAACCAGTTCCCCCACTTCCCCCCAACACAGAGAATGGGACACACTGGCTTTTGAGTTCCTGATACAATAAACTCATTCACTATACGGCAGAGCGCGCACTCAGCACCTTACACAGTATTTATCCATCTTAATGATTGCACTATATTATCAGCTCATCAGTCCCACACACTCCCCCCCACCCTCGGGGGTCTGTCTGTCTGTCTGTCTCTCTCCCCACCCCCCCTGGGGGCCTACCTGTCATTCTCCCCACCCCCGGGGGTCTGTCTCTCTCTCTCTCTCCCCACCCCCGGGGGTCTGTCTCCCCCCACCCCCGGGGGTCTGTCTCCCCCCACCCCCGGGGGTCTGTCTCCCCCCACCCCCGGGGGTCTGTCTCTCTCTCTCTCTCCCCACCCCCGGGGGTCTGTCTCCCCCCACCCCCGGGGGTCTGTCTCCCCCCACCCCCCGGGGGTCTCTCTCCCCCCACCCCCCGGGGGTCTGTCTGTCTCCCCCCCCCCGGGGGTCTGTCTCCCCCCCCCCCCCCGGGGGTCTCTCTCCCCCCACCCCCCGGGGGTCTCTCTCCCCCCACCCCCCGGGGGTCTCTCTCCCCCCACCCCCGGGGGTCTCTCTCCCCCCCCCCCGGGGTCTCTCTCCCCCCCCGGGTCTGTCTGTCTCCTACCTGCCGATGATGGCGCAGTCCCCGGTCTCCATGGTGAGCCGGGAGTTAATGGCCTCGAAGCTGGAGTTGAGGAGCAGCTTCATGGCGGCGGCGGTTCTTGTTGTCGACTGAGATTTAAATTGAAGACAAACAGCCGCGGCCTCGCGCCGCTTCCGGTAACGGTCGGTTCTCGCTCGAGCCGTGAGCGGGGGCGGGGCAGTGGGGGAGTAGATCAGTGCGCATGCGCGGGACTCTCAGACCGGCCCCGCCCTCCGGAATTCACCCTCACTGCGCTTGCGCGGGGCCGGACTGAGAGTCTTTCTTTGGTTTGCACTGCGCCTGCGCCCCAGCCCCTTGTTGGCAATATGAATCATAACAATAACAATAATAAGAATGATAATAATAATAATAGAACAAGAAAAATCCTCACATCTGATACAGCACCTCATCACGTCTTCGAGACACCTCAAAGCGCTTCACAGGACGCACTGCAAAGTGAAGTGACTGTGTGTTTTGTGGCCGAAGCGACATGTTTAGTTGTCGGGTCTCTTTGGGGGCGACAATCATCACCTCATCATCATCATCATCATCATCGTCCTTGCATTTGGCACCGCGTCGTCGAGACGTCTCGAAGCCCTTCACGGAATATACACGGTGTTAGCTGGTTAGACTCCAGCAGTTACTTACCCCCAATGTATACTGAGTCCCGTCTAACCCCCCCCCCCCCCCCCCACCAAGCCTTGGCTCTCGCCGACCTGCACCTAATACTTTCTGGAATTAGGTAAACAGGATGTGTCCCTCCAGGGAGAGAGTGTGCGAGTGTGCAGTCCATTCCAACAATCTTATCTGGAATTTCCATGTGTAGGTGGGATGGATGGAAAGTTTGGTTGGGATACTCTTAAGCACGGTGATGGGTTTCCGGGTGTGTCAGACACCCGGCTGACCCCAAGAAACTGTAAAGTGGTTTGACTGTATTTTGTGGGTGAAACGCGGCAGCCAATTGCGCACAGCAGTGTCCCAATTGTGGATTGAGCGACTGATTTTATTTGGGGGGGAATTATTGGCCAGGTAAAAATGTCTCAAAGTGCTTCATTGAATTTCATTGTAAAGCCTGGCTATACAAATAATTTACATTATAGTAATAATAATCAAATATCGTAAATTGTATTGTATCTGCAACCTGATAATCATTTTTTAAGTAATATAAATGGGTAATAATGAGCTTTCTGTAAACTAACATCTTCCCCTCCATTAGCCTGGGGCCAATTATAGTTCCCCAAACCCCCCCCCCACCACCCCTTCTGCCCCGACTGATGTCAACTGACTCAGGATGCACCAAAGACAAAACCTGGGTTATTCTTTGTCCGTATGTTTCAGTCCTTCATTGTTATCTCCATCTATCTTGTAGCTTAGTGGTAGAGCTCTTGCCTCACAAGCACGAAAACTTGGGTTTGATTCCCGTAGGGCGAAAGGTTAGACAAGTTTCCTTACTCGAATGGCAGATCAATTTTCCGGGGGTAATAATCCCTTAAAACATTTTTTTAAAACAATAAGAATAATTTGGTCACTCAATCCACAACTGCTGAGCGCCCACAAAATAAACAGTCACTATACTTTACAGTATATTTTGTGAAGCGCTTTGAGACGGCTTGAAGACGTGACAAGGTCCTATATCAATTGCAAGGATTATTAATAAGGATTAATATTATTCTTGCTCCGTTATTCTCAATCAGGCATTTCCGCAACCTACTAACATTGGGCCTTGTATAATCTTTACTTCCTGGTACAATCAGACTTTCACTTTTTCTTTCCAGTTTTGGATTACTAGGTTTCATGTAAATAGTCCTCCCTACCTCCTGGATGTTAGTAGACCTCTGCCCTTTCAGTGTGTTTTGAAGTGAAATTTCCCCTAGGTAAGGCAATAATATTCAGTTAAATCATAGAAATGTATAGCACAGAATCTTGTGTTTGTGAGATTTGTTGGGGGGGGGTGGGAGGGAGGGAAGCGAGATAGACTTGCATGAAGTGAAACTGATTTGTAGACGTTAGATAGAAATTCCACCTTGTTCAATGTAACTTCAGAGGAGTCCAGAATTTGGAAAATTCTTAAATACAGCCTTAATTTTGAAGCCAATTTTAAGAACCACAGTGCCACACAACTTGCATTGATACAGCGCCTTTCACGTTGCAAGGACGTCTCAAAACGCTTAACGATGCTGGATTGGTGTCCAAAACAAGCTGTTGGAGGGTAGGGAAGATGACCAAAAGGGTGGTCAATGAGATACGTTTTGAGTCGTGTCATGAACGAGGGAGGAGCGAGTCAAAGAGTGGAGAAGAATAGCTGAAAGCCCATCTGTCGATGGTGAGACGAATGGAAGTGAGGGGGCTGGGTGTGGAGACATGAAGCAGGCTGAGTGAAGGGGTCCGCCGAGTCGTTAGGGACTGAGGAGGTCACAGAGGTAGAGTAGGGTGAGACTGTAGAGGATGAGGATGATAGGCTCATGGAGTTTGTGCGGGAGAGGACATTGGGTGCAGAGCTGCGGAGAGAAGGGCTGAGGAGTCTGGTGAGGAGAGGAGTGGATATGATAAAGCCGTTTGATGAGGGACTCGGCGGCCCGAGAGGAGAGGGAGTAGCAGGCGTGGGTAATGTTTCAGGGCGAGGGAAAGCTGAGCGGGGTCAGAACATGGAATTGGGGTTTGAAAGATAGTTGGGGATCAAACATGACACTGAGTGTTCAAATTGGCTCTGTGAGGTGAGTAGGTTATTGGTGTCAGCGCCAGCATTAAGAAGACGTTGTTGAGACCCTTCTAGTCTGCTCAGCATTCAGCTGAAGACATTTTGTCATCGTCATTTGAGGTTTGCGGGATGGGGCTGCAGTAAAGGGAGCAGTTTCAGGAAGTAATGTTGTAGATTGCGTTGGAGTGAGATAAAGTTGGCTCACAACGAATGAGCCCTTCATTGGCAAGGATGTGTCCACGTAAACCTACCGGGGAGTGAGTGTGTTGAGCTAGCAAGTGGAGATCAAGCAGTGAGCTGACTGATTCAAGCCCTTTCTTTGCTCAGTTTCCCACAAGTTTCTGAATGCACTTTAACACTCCCAGGTCCAACACAGAACACACTTAGCTGTGTGTCATGTTTCTTCTCCAGTGTATCAAAACAGCCCCAGGTTGCTGTGGGTTTTATTCCACTCTATGCAATTGCAGAAGAGTTCAGAATTTTGCAAATTCTTAAATACAGCATTAATTGTGAAGCCAACTATTGCCACACAATTTGCATTTATACAGTGCCTTTCAGGACTTCTCAAAGCGCACTGAAGAGCTCCAAGACGCTGCCCCGCATGAAGGGAGCTATATAAATGCAAGTTGTTGTCGTTCACGGTTTTCTGTTTTTCTTCCAGAGATCTGCTTGATTGATGTCAAAAGATGGCAGAGTCTGGCCCTGCAAAGGAAAAGTCCTGTGTACGGGAGGACCTGATAAAAGCAGGTCAGACTTTCTAATTCCACCCTGTTCATTTGTGGTGTCCCAGCAAGTGGCACTACGAATAAATTGGAGAAGGGGGAAAATCACTGGATGTGTTAATTATACTTTCTCTTTTTTGCCCAAGTTCTGGCCTGAATCCATTTCCAAATCTCTCTGCTCTGGATGAACATCCCAGCCTTTGCCTGCTCCCACAACTTATTAGCTTTGGTCCCTCTCTCACTCTCTGCCTTCAAATCCCTCGGAAAAAATATCTTTGGCCAGTACTCAGCATGTTTCCCTCGCCTTTCCTGGCTATTTTTCCCCATTCGCCCACAAAAAATGCAGTCAGTCCACTTTACAGAATATTCTGTGAAGCACCTTGAGACTTCAACGCCGTGATGTGTTGCTATATCATATGCAAAGGTTATTATTATTATCTTAATGTTATTATTTTGTGTCTGTTCTTGCAGCAGAGGCAGCTGCTCTGAAGCTGAGCAAAGCGATCGAACTTGGAGACAGAGAGACAGCAGCTCGCTGCACTGAGATCCTGGTTGAGCAATGTGCCCTGGTCAGTGTAAAGCTAAAGAAAGAGGTTTACCCTAAAACAGAAATCCGGTAAGATCTGGGAACCTTATGGTGGATTTCCTTTGCATCTGGATACAGAATTGAGTGTTTGTGTCTCCGTCTCTTGCTAATTTTTCATGTTATTTCTATTGAAACTGATACCTGCTGGCATCACAAATCATCAAAAAAAATGATAAGTTGGTCACTCAATCCCTGCCTGTTTGTGGGACACCGCTGTGCACAATTGGCTGCTGAGTTTCACCCACAAACATACAGTCAATTCACTTTACACTATATTCTGTGAAGCGCTTTGAGACGTCTAGAAGATGCAAAAAGCACTATATCACATGCAAGAATTATTATTAATATATCTGATTACTTGCCTCTTGTTCCTCTCAATTCCCAGGAATCTGTTGTGAGTGCTTATCATCTTTATCGTTGAAATCAAAGCGGAATCTCACACTCTCCTGCTCCGTCTTTGCCAAGACCTCAAAGGTGTAAAGCTCTTCACCTCCCCCTAATCTTCCCTTCCAATCTCCAAGGTCTTCAAAATCCGAGCTTAGAGTCTTCACTGTTCTTTGATCCAATGCTTGCCCCCAATTCTTTTCAACCCGGGGTCCTCAAATTTAAAAACCAGGCTGTACCCTGCCCCTAAAGGGTTAATGAACCAAAGCGTTTACATCCAGAACAAGTGTAACCCACTACCACTGTTTCTGTTCCTGTTCTAGTTTGCGAGTCGGAGTGGAAGATTCCCAAGTCCGCAACATTCCCATCACTATTAATGTGCTCCCCTACATGACCATCGCATCCCTGAAGGATAAGGTAAACCAGGGTTTAAATCGAGTTTAAAATTCTTGCCCTCACAATCACTACACTCAACAGTGATTGTCTGCAACAGTTCAAAGTGATAAAAGGAAGATCTGTTCTACTTCTTTCTGACTTTCCTTTTAACAATAGAAAAAACTGACCGGTCCTGTAGTTTAGTGATTAGAGCGCTTGCCTTGCAAGCGAAAGGCTCCGGGTTCAATTCCTGGGCAGGGCGCAACCTTAGGCAAGTTTCCTTACCCCACACGCCTCTGTTTATCTAGCAGTAAGTAGGAACCTGGTTGCTAGATGATTGGCAGATCGCTTTCTGGGGGTAATATTCGCTCAAACAATGTGATCCCTTAATCAACGACTGTTTGTGGGACACTCCTGTGCGCAATTGGCTGCTGCATTTCATCCATAAAATATACAATCAGTTCACAGTTACAGTATTTCGTGTGAAGCGCTTTGAGATGTCTCAACGACGTGATAAGGCTCTGTATCAAATGCTCAAAGGATTATTACTATTATTATTATAACCTACTATCGTAACTCTTTCACCTGTAAAGGTGTACAGAGATTATGGATTCCATACCAAAGTGCAGAAGTGGATCATTGGCCAGCGCCTGGCAAAAGACCAGGAGACGCTGTACTCTCACAACATTAAGAGAGACGGGGACATGGCCTTTCTCTACCTGCTCTCAGCCAAGCAGGCCAACCTCACTCGCAGGCAACACGAAGAAGACCAGAGACTGCTTCAGCCAGGCGCCTTGTCCACAGACGGGAGTGAGTAGTTTGGGTTAAAATCCTCCCCCCCACTCCTGGCACAATAACCTCTCGTGATGCTCGCTGTGTCGGATCCTGTGAAAGAGCGCCATTAAAATGCAGGTTCTCTTTTTCTTGATTCGAGATGAGGACAGTGTGGAGGCGACGCAAACTGAAGAGGTTCTTCCCGGGCTGGAGGCGCGTGGTACGCAGAACCCCGAAGTAAACAAAAGATACCCGACACAAGAACAGCCAGCAGCCCAGCCAGCACTGCCGGTAATGTGGATTCTAACCCAGTGTGTGTGTAGGCAGGAGAATGGGACTGTCCTGTAACATAGTGGTTAATGCGCTCGGACAATCGACTAACAACTGGATTCAATTTCCAGTTAAGTTTCCCTACTCCACATACTTCTGTTTACCTAGCAGCAAGTAGGAACCCAGTTGTTAGTCAATTGGCAGATCACTTTCCGGGGGTAATAATTCCTACAAAAAAGAATAATGTGGTCACTCAATCCATGACTGTTTGTTGGACACCACTGTGCACAATTCACCCACAAAATACACAGTCACTCCGCTTTGCAATATATCCTGTGAAGCTCTTTGAGACATCTCAACGATCTGATAAGACCCATCAAATGCTAGTATTATTATTTGTGGGATGCTGTTGTGCGCAATTGGCTGCCATGTTTCGCCCACAAAATACACAGTCAATTCACTTTTCAATGTATTCTGTGAAGCACTTTGAGCCGTCTCAAATGCAAGTATTATTATTACAGTTGTTTCAGAGAGCCAACACAGGCAAGATCGGCTAAATGACCTTCTTTGTGCTGTAAACATCTGTGGTAGTACTGTACTGTCCTTGCCTTGGTTAAGCCTGGTAATCACATCTGATTTTAAACGATGCTTCTTCCTTTCCATAACTGGTAGGTTGGATGGGTGTGTGTGAAGTGTACGTACATGAATAAACCGACTCGTCCTGGCTGTGAAATGTGCAGCGAGGCAAAGCCAGACAACTATAAGATCCCTGACATTTACCAACCTGATGAGGAGGAAGTACAGAGGATAAAGGATGCAGAGGACAGTTTGAAGCATTATAAAGAGGCAAGTCTAAAGTCCTTTCTGTGCATCTGTTAGAGTCATAGCTAAACCAGACAATTCTGTTTTATTCCACATATGTACATCACCTGCATATGGAAATTTTTATGTGCCTGGAGTAGAGTGCACAGTCCCTCCCTAGAGGTCTGCACCCTGCTTACCTAAATCCAAAAAATATTAGGTGGCCGTTAGCAAGAGCCAAGGCTTGGGGACCCAGAGTGTGTATTGGGGTAATTGCTGGAGTTTAACCAGTTAAAAGCACCTAGCTTGCCATTGCTAGCAGTCTGACAAGCTTGCTGCTGCTTGTCCAGCTAGGACTACCTTCCTGTTAGGCTTCTTGTGTAACAGATGCGAGTGGAGAACACCTGCTTCAACTGAGCCAGGCTGGGCTGTGCTGCATCAGCAGTGACCTGTACTACTGCAAATCCACCTGGCTCAGGAACCAGACCATTGAGACCGCCAGAGAGGGTGGCTCGATTCCAATGCTCATTCCATTGCCAAGTACATCACCTTGGAGGCAGTTCAGCTCCAAGGAGACCCAGCTTACCTCTCCACACACCCCACCCTCCACATCCTGAAAAGGAGAGGATGGTCACTAATTGGTTTTCCCAATAAATAGTTTGTTGAACAAGAGCGGAAGCAAAATTACCAGCAGCTGCTGCAGACTGATGACCTGAACCTGATCTCAACTGGGGAAGATTTTGATTGTCCAGTCTGCTTCATGACCCTGGCTTCTGGAGAGGGCGTTACTCTTCGGGAGTGTTTGCACTCCTTCTGCAAGTAAGTGATTAGCTCCTGGCTTTTGTTTGTGTGAGAGAGAGGGCAACACAACCTGGCTCAGTTGTTAGTTCTGTACTCTCGGCTCTGGGTTAGAATATTGTGGGTTCAAACCCTGACTTTGGGACTTGGTGGATAGAAGGTCTACCCACCTCATGTACAACAAACAACATTTATGTATCACCTTCCACGCTGGACAGTCAGGGATTTGGACCTGAACTGGGATCAGGAGAGGTGAAGGGCATGGATGGTTGGGGTGGGAGGGTGATCGAAGATGCGATCGAAGAGGAGTCTTGAGACGGGTCTTGAAGGGGGGCAAAGGAGGCTTAACTAGTCACTACACCAGTTGGGATATCAGTGCCTCTGGGGCCACATGTGAAAATTTATTGCACTCACTATCCCCATGCCGTTCCTGACCAAAGGGTAATATTACAACCGCTCAAAATTCAAACAGAAATTCGATTTATACAATCTTATAAGGTCAGAACAAGAACTTTTTAAAAATAGAATGAAAGGAATGTTAAACGATGGATTGCCGTTTCCAGGGAATGTCTTAAGGGGACGATCCTGAACAGCGGGGATGCTGATGTGACCTGCCCATTCATGGATGATCAGTACTCTTGTGACAAAAAAATACTGGAACGAGAGATCAAATCTGTAAGTTGGGTTAATCTCCAGTACACTTGGCACATAAGGAATATACAGTGAGAACTCATGTGCTTCTCATACAGCAACAACACATTATTGTCACAGGGCCTATCATGTGTGTGTGTGTGTATATATATATATATATAAGATATAAACAGAGCAGTTCATCTGAGAACAGCATTACACCCGACAGTGCTGTCGAGACACTCACGGACTGCGCAATTTGCCATTGGGTTCTTACCAATTTAAGTGCTCTGTTTGGTTTCTACTTTCACTTCCGATCCATATTCCATTTTCCTTTCTCTTCAGTCCCACATCAACTTAATGTAAGAATATAAAAGCGCATGACAGGAGAAAGAAAGAGCCCATAGGAAAGAGTTTGCTAGATTAGGTGAGCCAGCACCATTTTACGCAAGCTGAGGGGTGTGTTGTAACTTGTAAGACTTCCAATAAGCCGTCCAATTATTCCTCGCTCTTTCCCTGCACCGCTCGCAGCTCCTGACGGATGAGGAGTACCGGGGATATTTGGACAAAAGTTTAGCGATTGCAGAGAATCGCAGTGAAAACAGTTATCACTGTCAAACCGTTGACTGCCGGGGCTGGTGCATCTATGAGGACGACGTGAACGAGTTCCAGTGCCCGCTGTGCAAGAAGAAGAACTGTTTGCTGTGTAAAGTAAGTGTCACTTCAGTAAGTAACTCGTTAAGACAGCAGTGCAGGGCACACACAGCAGGTACAGCAAAGCACAGAACTGGTCCTAGCCTAGAAGTCTTGTCGGAATGAACCATTTCCCACTCTGTTGTTCAAGGGACAAATGATCTGAGAATTTTACCGCACCCAGCAGAATAGCCATTTGGCCGACCCTGCATGTTCTCTCTCTTTTATAAGACATAAGAACTTGAGAGGCAAAAGACCAAGGTCCTTCTAGTTCGCCTTCCACCATCCTGGCAGTCACATGACATGTCGGGTCCCAAACAATATATCTTGTAAACTGTATATTCTCTTTCCAAAACCTGTCCTGTCTCACTCCCGTGCACTTTCCGCTCTCCCCCTCACATCCTTTTATAGTTTTCCTTTTTTGCAATATTTATCTAATTCCCTTCTCGCACAGATTCTAGTCCAACGTTGACAAGTAACAGGGCTGCAAAATCCTAATCCATTTGTCTTTTTTAAAAAAAAACTAAACTTTTTTTTCTGTTGAACACAGGCGATACACGAAGAGATGAACTGCCAGCAATATCAGGACGATCTGAAAATCCGAGCTCTGAATGACGATGCTGCAAGGCAGACAGCGGAGATGCTCATTGTAAGGACTGTTCTTTCTCACTCCCTGTGAATATTGGTCCACTGATTTGAGGAGGGTGGGGGTGGTTGAAGAATGTCACTGATATGGGAATACTTTAATAATCCTTCCATTTGATATAGCGCCTTATCGCATCATTAATTAAGTTATCGACATGTCTTACCAAAGCGCTTCACAGAATATACTTTAAAGTGGAATAAAATAAAAAAAATTTGTTTTCCTGCACGCAGACCCTGCTGAAGGAAGGGGAGGCAATGCATTGCCCTAAATGCAAGATTGTGGTTCAGAAAAAAGACGGGTGCGATTGGATCTCTTGCAGTATGTGCAAAACCGAAATCTGCTGGGTGACAAAGGGTCCTCGCTGGGGCCCGTTGGTACGTTATCGTAACGCCCTCCGCGTGTATCCAACTTTTTTAAAATTGGGGCTGATAAGAGGGGAGCAAATTACAAAAATAGCAGAAATGGGGGGGGGGGGGGGGGAAGAGAGAGAGAGGTTTGGGGGAAGAACCTGAATATGTGTGAAGAATAGTTCAAATATTGGGCGAGAAGTGAAATGGGATGGGGGGGAAGAGCTGTGTGTGTGTGTGTGAGTGAACGTGATGAGCCATAGGTTTTTTTCTGCTCCTACTATCTGTCTATGTGCTTATTCCCAATTGGGGATTTCACTGCGGATTTCCATACCTGTCCGCTCCCTCCCCTCAATGGACTCCGGACTGCTCCACCTCCCCACTCTGCCTTCCCCACAATCGGCGGTCGGGCCTTCAGCCTTTCTGCCCCACCCTTTGGCAATCCATTCCAGTCCCTTCGTCTCGCCCCGTCCCTTGCCTCCTTCAAAGCCCATCTCAAGATCCTTCTCTTACTACTGCTCTTTCGGTCAGCCACCTGTCCCCACCCTCCCCCCCACCTTATCAGGTGTGGATCCACGACTGTCCAGCGCCTTGGAAAGTCCTCCTGACGTGAAAGATGTGAAATAAGATGTAAATCTAATTTATTGGTGTTGTCTAATCTGCCAATGTACCATTTCAGGGCAGAGGAGACACCAGTGGAGGATGCCGTTGCCGGGTCAGTGGTGCACTGTGCCATGTCAACTGTCAGAACTGCCACTGAGCATTCCCACTGTCCCTGTGGGGACAGACCAAGCCATCGAGTTCAATCAAAACTAATGCAGTCATTTGGCAACATCTACAATACTAATTCTGCCTGCGTTTGAAATGTTTCATCTTTATGGGTATTGTTAAAGTGTTTCATAAACAATCTTTGTATACTCAGTACCGTCTATTTGTAGGTGAGAGCGGTAGTCAATTTGCACACAGCAATAAAAACCCCACAAACAACCATGAAGCGAACAACCCATTATATCTGGAGGACTGGCTAATATCTTTTAAGTCCTACCTGAGTAGACGGGTCCTCAGTTTAATGCACTTCCAATAATACAGCACCTTCAGCCTTTCTGCCCCCACCCTCTGAAACTCCACCCTCCTCCTTCAAGACTCATCTCACGACCTTCCTCTTTGACCATGTCTTCGGTCATCCTTCCACCTCCACCCCTGTTGACTGCAAACCCCAGCTCAGGTGCAAACCCTTCAGTGTGGAGTGCTTTTGGATGTCCTCTCGACATGAAAGCTTCTGAATAAATTACAATTTGTTGGTGGAGGGAGGCATAGATCTGAAATGGTTGTGAGAAGAGCGAGCTCCAGATAAAACATGTCTAGAATTAAATCCAATATACTGGACAAAGTCACTTCTGCTTACATACAAATCCAATGGGTTGACCATATTCTGATCAATTTAAATAACTTCCTACCTTTGGGTTGATGGGATGAAAGTGTCTCATCAACAACTTGTATTTATATAGCGCCCTTCACACAGGGTAGAGTGAAGATGGTTCTCAGTCAAATGAGTTTTGGGAGTCTTCACTCAGTTCCTAGTGGGCTGAAGACCTGTAGCATAGATTTTGGTATTAAATTGGCAATTTCACTTGAACGTTGATTGTGGGTAATGGGAATGCACACACCAGAACTCACAACCTCAAATGAGGTGGAAATTTCAGTTTGATTTTGATGAATTTGAGCCATATTGTGTTCTTTTTCATACGCTTTCTTATTGAATAAGAAACTCCTTTTGAACTATGGGATTACAATGCAAGACGTCTGTGTGGAGTAAGTTTGATTAAAGCAATCGATCGCTGTAATAATTAATCAAGATGATGTCACTTGAAGCAAGCTCGACAGCACTCAACTATGCGTTTAGCAGCGATGTGCGTTAGTGTTCGATAGGTGTGGGCTGCATTTCTTGGGTTTTAAGTGTTTTACTTGTCACAGGTGTCGGCCTCGAAGGGGGAACATAGGGGAAAACAGAGAGGAAAATCTCTGACATGGCCAGATAAGTTTTGCTTCCTCCCTACCCCCAGCATTAAGATTGCAATGTTTATAAATGCAGCTTACTTACCATCAACAGGAGTGTTTCATTGGTATTTTTTTGCCCAATCTCACAGGAACCTGATTGTTGCAGAACTCAATATTGTAGCAGTAATGTACAACGTGTAGTTAATTTGAGATAATTTGTATCTCCAAATCTAATCTGGCACAAAGGTGAGCGTTCTTTTCTGTGCATGGAAAGGCCATGTGGAATTTTATTGCAATTTAAATAAAAATATTTTTGGAGATTGTTGCATTTACTGCTCAGCATAACAGTCATTACTATGTTTGTAAATCACCTTTTCCCTCCCAGCAGGGAGCATCATAATAATCCTTGCATTTGATAGAGCAACTATAAAGTCAAACCTCAAAGCGGTTCATAGGAAAATGTGGCATCTTGTAAAATAAATTGAATAACCACAAACTAGTACGTGTTCTGCTACAAACAATTTCACTCACTGAGGATTATAGCAGTTTTACTTGGCTAATAGATAGTCACTGACAAAAGCAGGCACCAGCATCAGAGATTTGTATATTGCATTTCCAAGACCAATAGTACAGTATCAACACATAATTCCTTCATACCAAAGGCAAGCAACACAGCCTGACAAGGACTAGCTACACAACTACAAAGCGTTGTAAAGGTTAGTGAGCCAGTTGCTGTTCCACAATTAAGGCTGCAATATATTACAGTACAACAGAAGATGATTGATTGCCATTAGTGAGCTGCCTGTCATCCAGGCTCATTATTAAAACAGTTGGCAATGAGCCGGTAACTGTACGTTTGATGACTGGATCTTACTAATTGCAATGAAATAGCAAGCGACTCAATTTGTGAAGAGGTAGGCAATGGTACTGACAAGATCCAATTTGGATTTTGGTGAATTTGCATTCTGTACTTATAAATATTTGTGACTTAAATGATTTTGCCTGTGAGTAAGCTAAATAAAAGGGTATTGCACCATGCATGTGATTGAGGAACTACTTTGAAATATTTTTGACTTAAAATAATTTTATCTTCGAGTAAGCNAAAAAAAGTTATTGCACTGTGCATGTGATTGAGGAATAGAGTAATTTTAGTGCATAAGGAATTCAATAGAACAGTGAGAGGAAGACACGTTCCACAGGAAAGGCAGAAGAGGAGAGGGGAGGTATAGGAGGGGAGACTCAGGGGCTCACTAATGGACTGGCTTACCGCTGTAGCCTTCTGCAATTGACTGACATCTAGCTTCATACCAGCGATTTGTTTCTCTTCCCTGGACTCCAAAACAAGGGCAGCAGCAAAGTGACAGGTTATTGGGAGCTTTGTGCTGGGACCTTATTTCCACTTGGGGAGTGCAGAAATTTCAAACAATCTTCCACTTTCATTTGTGCTCTTTTTTTGGATTAAAAAACGCCTTTATATATTTTTTTTTAAAAAGGGAGTGCTGCATAAATGATGTCCTAACAGCACCTGCCCCACATCTTTTAGTTGAGCAAGCAGGAAGAACACCATAAAACATAAAAGTCTGCAAAAGAAATAACGCTTAGCCTATATGGATCAGGTAATGTTATAAGAGTGATGGTATCAGTTTGCATGCAGTCAACAGAGTAGCACATTTCTTTGTTACTCCCCCTGCACCACACAAACTCTAGGCTTGCCAACAGCAGCTCTATAACCGGCTCCAATTCGTCCTACACACGCTCATTGGCCCTTTGTGATCCTGTGACTAAGGTTGGTCACTTGGTTGTTCGAGACAACCGTGGCTTCAGATACGTCCTGTGCAGTGTGTTGGGAGTTTCCGATGCACTGGAAGCCTCAAGCTTTAATTTAAATAAAAGGTCTAAAGCAAAAAGGTTTTCTATAGTATATTGCAGCGTTACGTTTGGTGCTAATCGTTCACAAAAGGCAGTCAAAAACGTTAGTGTTAAGCTCAGTCTTACCCCCAACTGAGTAGGTACGTGAATCCATTTGCTGTCTTCAATGAGACATTATAAAGTAAAAAGGCAACAATGAAAAAGAATCCTATGGCCCCTTCCCTTCCCCAAGAGTGTCCTGGGGGGGAGGTCTGTAAAGTGGCTAAAAAGGTCTTTCTCAAGGGAAAAGTTGCAGTTCAAACTTTGCTGCCCACTCCAAAGCACCGTTGGCGACCGCAAACGCAGCCGCCCCCAGCGCCACAGTCAGTCCCATCACTGCCAGTTTCATCAGTCGCCTGGTGCCCGTTCTGGCCGCAGTTATGTTACTCCTGCGCTCTCTCTGCGGCTGTTCTCGCAATCGCCGGCGGAGCACAGCGTCCGGGCGCTGCTGAGCAGACACCAGCTCAAAGTCCTTGAAGGTGGAGACAGCGGTGCTGTGAGGGGTGGACAAACAGAAGAACCAGATTAGACAGATCCCAGTGTAATAATAATAACTTGCATTCATACAGTGCCCTTTACCGGGGTAGCTCCTTGGAGCTCTTAAGAGAATAGTAACATTTCAACAAGCTTTCAACAATCCTAACTAAAATTCTGAAAGTGAACCAGTCCCTATGAGTTTCATTTTCTGCACATGATCCCCAGGCCTCCCGCACATTGCTCTGACGTGGGTGCCTGTGACCTCAGCCCAGAAATAAACTTGCCTTCCTGTGGCACTATACTACATCAGCACAGCTGTGCAAACTCAGGAGCACAAGCAATTTGTACCTTCTCATTACTACTACAACAATTGTATCACAGATCACAGTTCTGTGTGTTTCAAAACCTCGTCCAAGAGAGGCAAGTAACCTTTGCTGAGGCCTTAGTTTCTATGCCTTTTTGAAACCAGAGTGCAGCTCAGTTTCTTCTTAAAATGTGGCATCAAGTAAGCCCAACAGAAACGTCGCACTAGAGCTCTCTTAGTCCAGGAACCCTCCACTATTTGTAATTGCATTTGATTGGGAATTACATCATATCTTCCCAACAAAACACAACAACTGAAAGAGACATAGCCATTACCTGAACCTGTGATACAGATCACAGTTTAGATAACATAGCTTTGCTAAGTCATACATGTTTTTATTTCTCTACTTCAAACAAATCTCCTTAGGATACTCTGATCCATTTTATCTTCCCATTCTGACTTGCCTATTATTCGCAATTTGGTTTGATATTCTAAAGCGTGGTGATGGGTTTCCGCATATGTCAGATGCCCCCAAAAACTCCAATATGTTTTCATACTTTTGTTCTTTGAAAAGGGCCAAATTAATTCATCCACACAGCCATGTAAAGGTACAGCTAAACAAGTACTGCTAAACATTAATTAAAATTGCTGAAGAAACTCAAACCTTAACTCTACCTTCCCCTGCTCAACATGAGCAGCAGATAACCTAATCCTCCATTTCTAGGCCGGATTGAGTTATGAAGGTACAAAAATATGTTTTACCAAAGAACATTTTTGTAAAGAGTTTCATTTGACCCCCAAGGCTGTCCGACTGAACCCATTTTTATGCGTTCACTTCCTTGTTCAACTGTTTTGTAGATGCACACTAACAAACGTATTTCAGGAGAGAAAAACAAGTCTGATGTGTCCCTCACCTAGTTTACTAAGAGTAACACTAGCAGCAATCAGGTCAAGTTGCTCTTAATATGACAGGCAGCATGGTGAATCCAGGAAGCAAGAGACAAATTAACCCATTATTGTAACAAGCCCTTTGGTAACCATAACACTCTACTGAACCACTTAGAAACATAACCTTCCCACACAAAAATTATCTTGATTATCTTATTTTCTGTAAGTTCAAAGATATTTACAGGGCAATATAGGACAATCCTACACTGGGGTGCTTTCTGACTTTGAACACAACCTGCAAGGAAAAAAACACACAATGAAAGCTCTTAATTATTAATTATAGTGCTGTTATTATCTAATACAACAGAATAAAAGGTTGGTGCTTCATCATCCAACTATCCAACAGATCCTCCCTTTACAGAAGTCAGAACATTTATCAAAGACCCAATAAAACTGAAATCTACTGTAAGCTATGGCCCCTATTGGTAGTTCAACGTCATGCTGGGACTTAGAATACATTCAGGCCAGGCATTTTAAAAAAATACCAAATGCTCCAGTTACCGTAGTCAAATTTACATTAACGAAGATACAACAACAAGATTGCATTTATAGAGCGCCTTTCACGTCGGGAGGACATCCCAAGGCGCTGGACAGTTGGGTCGGGACCCGAGCATTGGGGGGAAATGGTCAGGGTGAGGGGAGGGAAGGAGCGAGGAGGGGGTAGAGAGTCGAGAGGGAGCTGAAGGCACAGTTGAAGATAGCAGGCAACTGGTAACAGTACACGTACACGCAAACTCAATCTGTACGTGACTGGGTGGAATTTCTTCCAATTGTAATAAAGAAGTCATAAAAGCCAAGGGGTGAGAGCAAACTTCTCTCTCTCTCTAACCTCAGCGAGGACTTTGCTGACAGCACAAACAGAAACCTCGGTGGGAGGGGTGGGGGGTGGTGCCTCCAAGCTCCATTCAATTGGGAAATGGTGTGCAATGTGGGGGCAGCTAAAATAAGGGTGGAGGGGGGAACTAGTGATTAAAAATGGGGCAAGGGACAGGAATATTGTCCATTGCCATGATAGGAAATGCAATATTGGGTTGTTGCAGTACATGATTTCTGCCACAGGGTGACAATGTGCAGCCACAGGGCACTGCAGTAACCACAAGACCATCATGGGGGAAACATGTCACAAACTGGACTGGTTATGGAGGGAAAGGGCATAAACTAACCAACTGATTTGAGGAGATTATTATTCCTAAAGTGAAACTTGTGACTGATGTTAAGGTAGCTTAATGCCAAGAGTAATGAAAGGGATTCAAATGTAATGAAAGGGATTCAGTCTTCGCTATAATGTTGAGAACCAAGAGCGTGAACATATTGCCACTTACTTCTCTTGTTGGATTGCCTCTTTGGAAAGTTCGGACGGAGGAAATTGGACGAATAGGTCTCCAGCACGGCTTATCAGGGTCTCGTAAGGCAGGTCCTGTGGGATCTGGGAGAGGAGATGGTGGACAGAAGCCATGTCACATTCACTCTCCAGGACCTGGTGCTCCCGGTACAGTACTATCTACAGGAAACAGATGCAAACTCTTATTGAGAACTGTAACAGCTGAATGAAGATTGTGGCACGTGCATACACACTCTTGAGGTACAAAACTACATCCCATTATAGGGTTCCTTAATCAAGCATAAAAACATTCCCCAATTATTCCATATTTAATACTCTGTTGCTCAATCACATTGGCACCAATTGATCACAATGCACTTGGGGGTAGCAATCACTTTTGCATAACATTTTAATGTTCGGAAATGCTGCAATAAGGATTACAATGAGGTACACAGAAATGCACAGTTTATAGAAATATGACAAGTCCAATTGAAGTTACACTTCCACATTCATTTAAACTTTAACAAATGTGCGTTCACATAAACTGAATAAATTCAGTCACTACCCCATAATATAACATAGAATCATATATGGCAGAGTTCACTGATGAAATCTATACTGAAAATACCAAGGTCTCTATTTGAAATCACTGTGAGGTAAGAGACACACACAAAGCGCGACCTACCACTGCAGCGAAATAGATGGGCATTAATGGATGACAGGCCAAGAAGAAGTCATATAACCGAACCACATGCCGGAAATCTGAAAGCACGTGACCAAACCAAGTTATCAGCCAGCTCAAAGCGAAGATAGTACCAACCTCAGCTCTACAAATACAAGAGGAAAAAAAGTTTAAACTATGAAACAATAAGAACAATAAGCTTAACAATAAGCTTGAGTCCTACTTAACAAACCGTCTTCATTTTAACTCTTCAAATGGTTTCTCCTCCCGCCTCCGCCCATTCATCCTTGGCCCCCTCCTCTTCCTCATCTATATGCTTCCTCTCGGTGATGTCATCCGCATACACAGCATAAACGTTTACATATATGCGGATGACACACAAATCTACTTCTCCTCCAGCTGTGACTCCAGGTCCGCTGACGTTCTCTTGGCTTGTCTGGCAGACAACAAGGCCTGGATGAGCGAAAACTTCCTGCAACTCAATGTTGACAAGATGGATGCCACACTCATTAGCTCCCGTCAATGTCTCCTATCCTGCGGCTCTGACCTCCCCGGCCTATCCCTCAGACTTACTGAACCAGCGCACAACCTAGGCGTCAGGTTCGACACACAGCTGTCCTTTCTTCCCCACATCCGGTCCCTAATCAAGACTGCTTTCCTCCACCTCCGTCACATTGCCTGCCTCTGACTGTACCTTACCCCAGTCGCAGCCGAAACACTCGTCCACGCGTTCGTCACCTCCTGACTCATTTTCAAATGCCCTCTTCACCAATCTCCCCAGCTCCACCATCCACAGGACCCAGGTGATCGAAAACTCCGCTGCCCACATACTCACCAACACTAAACTCTGTACCCCCATCACATCAGTTCTAGCCAGGCTCCACTGGCTCCCTATCGCTGAACAGATCAATTTCAATTTTATTGAAAACACTCGTTTTCAAATCCTTTCATGCCCTGGCACTTCCCTCCCTCTCTGACTTGCTTACCCCCCAACCAAGACACTATATGAAGAAAATCTCCTGGTGTTCTAGTAGGCCAATTACTAAAGGACATGACCTTAATTTAGGGTTAGGCTCTAGTCTACGTCACAATTTCAAATTCACCATTAGTCATTTTTAACGTATCACATCAAACCTGCAATAAGTTAGTGTGAGACACGCGCATTACCCAGCCACTCCACCTGCCTCTCCAGATGTCCAGCACCTACAGCTTTTATATATTTCTAAGACCATAAACTTGATTTTTTTCCCCACACTTTCGAAACCCATATTGGCTTGTACAGATGTACAATATTTCCTGTTCGATTAGATATACACAGCATTCCAATACATGACCGAACTGTGGTGATTTGGTGATGGAAAGATGGAAATGGTGTAGGCTAGCTATGCGCAGGTGCGAATATTACTTTGGTGATATTTTAATTACGATCAAACACTTTCATGATGTGCATTAAGTTGATCTTATTATCTAAAGCATCTTGAACAGAAATTGGAGGAGTTATATAACTGAGCCAGTTTCAAGCGCTCTGGGACACTACCCTGCATGAGGGGCGCTATATAAATGCAAGTTGTTATTGTTGTTGGCAGAGCCCAAAAACGACCATTAACTCTCACCTTTGCATGAAGTCATGAAGTTCTGGGTTAACACTTTCTATTATTGGCATAAGGTAATTCAAAATATGTTTGGTGTTATCCATGGTCGGGTCCATAAAATCCCTATAAATAGAACACAAAATTTTTAAAAAATTGTGATATGGATAATTTCTCTGTAATCAAATCTCATCAAATTAAAGTAATACTAATGGCAGCATTGTGGAAGATCTCTGGGCAGCTTTTGTTCAACCAGTTGCTTAAATACAACAGTTCAAGGAACACAGAGAGATAAGGTGCAATCGATTAAAAATAAATGGCTTGTCCCACCTCTCTTTCTCAAACAGATCAACAATATTTTGGGGGTGGGTGTGGGTGGGGAATAGAGCCCTGTGTTTACAGTGAAGTGAAACTCAGCAAATACCTGAGATGATGGGTGGAAAGTTTCTCCACGAGGGCCGTTGCCATTCGCTCACCAACAACCAGGAGAAAGGTGACAACAATGTCATGGTAACCTTGGTAATAGTGAAGCTGGGGGTTTCTCTTCAGCACCACCAGGATGCTATCGATCAGCTGTTCTTGCAACACCTCCCGCTCCGCATCTGGCATTCCTGTAGGCATTACCAACCCAGAATATTACATTACCCATAATAATAATCCTTGCATTTGACATAGCGCCTCATGCCGTCATTGAGACGTCTCAAAGCACTTCACAGACTTTATTGTAAAGTAGATTAATATTGTATTTTATGAGTGAAGCGTAGCAGGCAATTGCATACAGCAGTATCCCACAAATAGTCATGGGTTGACTGATCAAATTCATATTATTTTGGGTGGGGGGTCGGTGGGGGAGGAATCCACTGACAACCTAGCACATGACAGAAGTATGCATTAGCAGTGCCACACAATGTTTTTCTCTGTACAGAGCAGAGATAAGTTTTTTTTTTAAATCTGCGAAAAGTAGCAGTTGGCTCCAAAAGTACACAAAAACTTTTGCATTTCTAGTAGCCAACCTCTGCTACTTTCAAAACTAAATGGCATTCAGAATATTCTCTCTCTTTCTCTTAAACATTCCCAAAGCCTCTACACTCGTGACACATGTGGCCTGCATAAAGTCCCTTACAAATCAAAGAACTTATCAGATGTTCTTAATTTTCTTTTAAAGTATATTAATATACTCTAAAGCCTGTTTTCACAATTACAGCAGAAAACATGCTTATGTCCTACAAGACTGTGCCTTTGGGGATATAATCCATACAGGAAATTAAGGTTATAAAATACACAACAATGTCTTCAAGGCGAGTTAGTACAGGATACAAAACGCAGAATAGAAGGCTAGATTCTCTACTCCCAGCAAGCTTTATTCGTAATATTTTTAAAGAACATTCTTCAGTCTAATTACTTATATTGTTAGAATTAGTTCAGAAAAGATTATTGCACAACTGCATCAAAATGAAGCAAAGATCAGACATGCAAAATGTCTTCAGTGAACTTAATTTGCATGTCATGGTTTTATAACCAGATACCTTTATTCTAACAAATAAAAGAGAGACTTGAGGTGCAGTTAGAAAGATAGATACTATACATAGAGACGATTATGAATCAGTATTTCTTTGGCACTAGGAATTTGTAGCTCTAGTATGGGTCAGAGCCTTCAGACAAGGGAATAAAATCTGCTTGATATCCAATATTCAGATTTGACTATTTTTAAACATTCACCAACCACACACACAGACACACATACATAGCCTTATGTTGTTTGTAACAGTAAAGGACTGTTCATGAGGATTCCTGCTCTGAATAAATAATCAACTATATCAAATCGCAGGTTTTCATTCTTAAAGACATAGCAGTGTATGTCCTGGACTGAATGTCCAGAAGAGAGTTTGGTAGTGTGGTAGACACACAACCAAACAAGCAGAACATTAACAAAGGCCTTGACAGTAGCCAGTATACGTGTAGGTCCTATGATTGAAGTTAAGAGTTTCACTGCAGAAACTATTCCTGAATCACTGCAGCATTAAGAAAAAGCAAAAGATGATCTCTACAACTGGTCTGAAAGAGGGAGGAGTCAAAGAAGCACTTACAAAAGGAAGGAAGTCAAATAAATTTAAATACATTCAGAAATACTCTCTTGCGATGCCACCTCTGGTTTGATAATTCAAGATACATTTCTCCCATGACCTGTCAAGGTCCTAATTTCCAGTAACACAGTATGAAAACCTATGAACAAATATAATACTCTTACCCCATAAAGACATTAAATTATATTAATCTTCCTTTAATCTGCACCAGCTAAACAGACCCTCCCAAGAAGGAAATAGCAACAGTTTGCAGCAAGGCACTTACTAGGTGGGAAGCGCCGGAGTGACCGCTGGACATCCAGCAGCACCTGTTGATAGTCTTTATTGTTTTCCCGTAGTTCTGGTCCTAGTGAAAAGATCAGGTGGGCAATTATTGTCTAAGGAACAGCCTCAATAAATCACAACCATCTAAGTTGCTCATGTTGATGCCAAATTAATTCTATTTTTTTTGTATTTATTAGACCAGGAGCTGTGGGATGGACAGAAACAATTTAGCTACATTGCAAAGATGTGGTCCATGCCAGCAATAACATTTACATTTAAGTGAATGAAGCAGCATGCATTATTCTTTGAGAACTCATAACAGTCTAGAGAGACATGGGGGAAGATAGCCTGCAGCTAGTAAATGCCACAAACACAGGTTATTAAAGAAAAGTTTCAATTGGATAGTTGGAAGTTTTGTGTGTCAACCAGTGAGAGTGAGGAGCTTGACTGAAGCAATGAACCAATGAATATACTCCAACCGTAACTGTGATCACACACACAAGGAGCTTCTGATGCAGCTTTTGAATAAAATGACCCAACAAACATCTGTATGTGTGTGAAATATTCATTTATTTTTATTACTTTTCTTTGTCGAGAATCATTGATTTCTGAGCCCCAACAATTTCAAGCCCCGTCAGCTTCACCCTTTGGATCTTTGTTGCTGCAACAAAGCTAACCAGACATTTCTTAGCACTGTAGGTATAAAACATGCTCTAATTGACTGTAATTGCAGTCAAGAACTTTGAGACGTTTTGATAATAATCCTTGCATTTGATATAGCACTTTATCACATCTTCGAGACTTCTCAAAGAGCTTCACAGAAAATACTGTGAATATTCACAAAGTCTGAAGTTCTTTGAGACGTCTGGAAAGCTCGGTATCAAATGTAAGGATTATATTATTATTACTGCGAAGTGAATTGCCTGTATATTGTACGAATACTGTATTTTGATGTGATCAGGATATCTAAAATGTAGGTTTGTTCTCTTTTTTAATAGGATTGTGCTCAAACAATAACAAAAGAAACAGATAGAGAAAGAGTACCTGGTTTTGGGGGTAGGTCATCTGTGTTTACATTAAGAAGCTTTGGCCATACTTTACTACGGATCTCATCTGTCAGAAGACCACCTTCACTGATAGCCATCCTCCGCAATGCAGCAACATCCACCGGGGAGCTATTCAAGGCATGTTGGATTTCTGCTACCTTTCTTTTTCTTTTTGATTCATAATCTAATTTTAAAATATAAAAAAACTTAAATTGCAATAGAGCTGAGTGACAAACATCACATCTCAAAATCAAAGTTTAATCTCACTCTTTCTCTTCCCCATGGTGCAGAGTATTCTTTAACTGGGAACACAGACGAGTAACCTTCCAATGCTGCTCTTTGTAACTGGCTCTAGGATGTCTGCAAGAGCACCATGGGCTGGTCTGAGCTCCAATTTGCCTTGCGGAGAGACGACATCACCTTCACAAACCTGCCTAAGATCAGAATTTCACCATATCTTATAACGCTGTGGTGCAGCAATGTGCTCCCAGCCACTTTTATCAATCTGTTTACATCACGTACAACATGACCTACACAACAAAGAGCTCACTGACACTGACAAACGATTGACTCAACCTGTACTTGAGTTATCCTGCAAGGTCCCAGCGCCTTGGGATGTCCTCCTGATGTGAAAGGCGTTTACAAATGTAACTTTGTTGTTGCTGCAGGTGCCTTTAGCCCCCACTGTCAGCAGGAAGCAAGAGTGAAAATCCTTCAGGTACAAACATATGCAGTATATGTCTGTGTGTGTGGGGGGGGGACATCTTCAATTTCCACTAAATCCTCCTTTCTTATAGTTAACTTGTACTTTGATACAGTTCCACGAAAGGCAATTTAAAGTTAAGCAAATTTTGGAGGAGAATAAGATAGTAGAAAATTAATCAGTATAAGTGTATTTAACCAGAATCAGCCTGATCTACTTAAAATCAGTTAGGAACCTGACCATTATCAGGAATGGGTAATCAACAGGTACAATGGGTTATCAGGACAAATTTGAGGTTATCATAAAGATGAGATCAAATCAGGCAAAGGGCTGTCAGATGAATCTTATATTTCTACTCTGCACAAGTTAAGCATAGCTTGAGTTCACTATTTGATGCAAGTTTAAGCACTGTTCTGCTCTATGAATTCATGTAGATATAAAGTTGGTGCACCCCATTGTTTAATGTTGACCAGAGCATTTGCCTGTACTTTCTGGGATGAGACAAACAAGGTGCGACCTTTTGGAACAACATTCCAGACAAAGGGACATTTCTATTCATATGTGGAACTCTCAGTCTGATTTGGATACTTTTAAGCAGGTGGTCTGTTTCTTTGTATATCACACATCCAGTTGGCCCCTAAATTGAATCTGATTTTATTTGAGCAATCCTGTTCAGGAACAAGGGATCTATTCATTAGCCTTCTCTCTACCGGCTGATTATTGAACAGAAGAAATTTTCTGCAGAGTTTGACCGGAGCATGTGACGGATTGCAGTTTCCCACAGTTCCAATAATTACTTGAAAACAAACTGGTTTCATGAAATAATAGCTTTGTGTGTGCAATCAGCACTATCACACTGCATTTCATGGCCCAGCATGACATAGCTGCCGGCAATAAACCTCAATCCAAGTGGCAGAATGAAAATGAGTGCCCTCAAATATCCACGTGTCTACCAGATCCACGTGTGAGCTGCACCAACAAAAGCCTTCCCATGGGAATGGGAGAGTCAGAAAAACAAATGTCCAACTGCATCTGAAGCTTCCCAGCAGTCGATTGTACCGTCACATTGGCAAAGGCCTTGATAAGTGGTTCACAAGAATGTAAGAATTTTTCAGGTGAGAGACCAGGATACATCCGGGTCCCCTTACACCATCCTGGCAGTTGCTTGACATGTCATGTCCCAAACTATACACTGTGGATCAAAACAGTACATCTGATCTCATCCTTCGACAACACACAGCCTACCGCTCCCTACCCCCAGTCACAGCAAACACCCTTCCTCGCAACCTGAGGGCCAGTCGTTGATTGCCCTCGGAGTAAAGAAAACATTTCCTGGTCGTCAGGGCTTCCCCCTCTGCCCGCGGTGACAGGTACTGTACTATCAGTCGGTTTGAGCCAATGTTATCGCCTCTTTATTCCCAATTCACCGTTGGAAAAGCGAATCCGACCCGTGCCAACCTAACCTGCTGTGCGGCAGGGACAAAACCCCGCCCTCGACGCGGACACCGGGCGCTGATTGGCTACATTGCGTTCCGGCCTCGAGAAAACAGCCTTGTCATTGGCTCGCGCGCCTGTCAATCGCGGAGAGAGGCCCGGGGGAAACAACAAAGTTTGGTTGAGGTGCGCGGGGGGGAGGGGAAATATTCAAATCAAACGGTCGCGGCGGAGCCGTTCCAGCGCGTGGGGCGGCGGGTGGAGGTCTGTCTGTCGTACATTCCTCGCGCAATTACTTCACTTCAGGTAAATGTTCGCGCGCGCACCTCCCCTCACACACAGATACCCAGAAAATAACACTATATATATTAATACACGGAGATATGACAAGAAAAATAAACGTTACCTTGCTTTCCTATCCCGTTTATCGAGCCGCTGCTTCGAGTCCGCTTCAGAGACATCTGTGCAGGCCGGCGGGGCGCGGGCGGCGCATCTTTAACCCCGGACTCCGGCGCCCGATCGCAGTCCGCACCGCCGTAATCCCCGAAGCCTTCGCTCACGAGGCGCTTCTATCTCTCTCCCTCCTAATATAGATTAATGTGTGTGTGTGAGTGAGACTCGGGTACTGTATATATTCAATTCTTTCTTTCGAATTAAATTAAATGCTTCGAGGGGAGGAATCGAACCGATGACGACGCGGCAGCGGCGACAGCGGCCGCTGCGCCTTGGCGTCGTCGCGATGACGCAATACGTGCAGCGAGCGGCCCTGCTTCACGCACGGGGGATTTTTTTTAATTTAAAGGGACCTCGTCACGTCTGGAAGGGATGAGGGGAAGTCAGGTGTCGGTTGATGGTTTGGGGTTTTGTTGGTAATGAGAAAATGACACGTTTGCCCATTTGATTTCCATCTGTGCCGTTGATCCTGTTTTAAAAAAAAAGTGCTTAATTACCCTCTGGGTATAGAAAAACGTCCCACTATCTTTGCGCTGCAACTCTAAACTTCTGTCCTCTTGTTATGTGTTCATGCACCTAAAGTATTGTTCCGGATTTTTTAAAACTTTTTCAATCCAATTGAAAATTTAAATCTGTCCTTGAAGTATATTAAAGATCCTACCTATTGAAAAGAGAATCTTTCTCTTGTTGTTCTGGCCAACGCTCTTGACAGATTGCCCACATAATAGTGTACAATTGGCTGCTGTGTTTCACCCACAAAACAGTCACTACACTTTACAGTATATTCTGTGAAGCGCTTTGACATGTCTCGAAGCATGTGTCACTCCCCACACCACCAGCCACTTCACACACAAATTGCACAATTAAATGATGTCATCATGCTATTTACCTTAATGCCTCATGTGTTTGCAAAACCCCTTTTGTGTTGAAAACAAGAAAGGCTACATTTTGCAAAATAATGATTAATTCAATAACCAAGGCCATACTTAATCACATGATATTAACATATATGGTGAGAAAGCGGGAAATTGGAATTGAAAGGATTAGCTGAGGTACAGATCAACCATGATCTAATTAAATGGCAGAACAGGCTCAAGGGGCTGAATGGCCTACTCCTATGTTACTTAAAGTGAGGAGTTAAACTCATTATAGAACGTCTTCATCTCAAACATATTGTGGAAATTCCTTCCTATTTAAGGAGTTGATAGAATGGCTCAGATTGACCAAAACTCCCAAGCTCACCTTGGGCAATCAGTTTCAAATGGGTGGGGGGGGACAAGACTTAAAAATTGGTCTGAGTTCCTTTTTTTTTTGGCCCCACCGGGTGTCTGACATACAGAAACCCATTACCATGCTTGAATATCCAAACCAAGCTGAGATTTCCATGCATCCCACCTACACATGGAAAACCCAGAGATAGATTTTTGGAATGGAAGCCACTCTCTCTCTCCCTGGATGAACATATCCAGATTACCTAATTCCAGAAAGCATTAGGCTCAGATTGGCAAGAACCAAGGCTTAGGGACCCCAGAGTGTGCATTGGGGTAACTGCTCGAGTCTTAACCAGCTAAAACCATACACCTTGCCATTGATATTGCTGTCTGGCAAGCTTTCCTGCTGCTTGTCCAGCTAGGACCACCCTACCCGTTAAGGCTTTTGCTGCAGGGTTAACAGGAGCTGAGTGGAAGGATTCCCTGCCCCCAGTGACTGGTCAGCCCTTCCAGGTCCTGCTGAAGAGCCAGGCTGGCTGTGCATTGCCCTGGAATACCGCGCGCGACCCTTCATCATTGAGGTGTTCAAAGTCAACTTTTACATTTTATTTGAAATAAAAAATGTCTCTTGAAGCTGTACTGGATTCTCGTAATTCACTATATTACATGTTTTTATTAAGAAGGTCCCCAGCACGTCTGGTTATCAGGCCAGCCTCACTATTCTCCATGTGACCTTCCCAGGAGCTGCTGTGAAATCTTATGGGCTGGGAACACATAGCTGCAGTCAGCTCAACAGTACGTACATTCAAACGGACCTCAAGGCATCAGTCAAAAACTGAACAGCGCAGATATAAAACTGCTGTGCCAAGTGCATACCAAATGCACTCAGTTTCGTTTGACAGCTTACAGATGTGACCAGACTTTCTGGTATTGGATTAAGTACAAACCTTCTGATTTGAGTTAATTTCAGCTCAGCTTGCTGAAATCCAGGTGCATCATCTCCAGATTCCTACCCTCAATGGGCTTTTTCCCATTCTGTGGGCTGCTGTTGACTTGTACTGGGATAGTTCCACAAGCTCCCCTCCAGTACTTCATTCTGAGTGGCCATGTGTAAGTTCAAAGAATCATCATCACAATAGGACAGTTTTAAGTGGCAAACATGTCCATCTTCTGCACCATTAGAAAAAAACACCTTTTAACTTTAATATAAAGAACTTTTTTTTAATATAGTGCCTTATGTCAAAACATCACAGAGTTTCACAAGTAATTACAGTGACCGTTTTTATAGGGTGTACGTGGCATTTGTGCCAGCAAGTTCCCCCAAAGTTATGAATTGCCAGAATGACCAGAACATCTGGAGAAACTCCCTGCTCATCAGATTGTGTCGTGGGATCTGTAAGGCCCACCTGGACAGGCAGACCAGACTTTGGTTAGTCTCATCCTAAAGATATCCAATGACACACCACTACCTCAGTATGGCACTGTAGTGTCAGTCTAGACTGTGAGCTTGATTGAGGGGGAGACTCTTGGTGTCATTTTTGTTAACTGCAAATTTCACTAATATCCAACCAAAACATGAACAATAAATCCAGACTGCATCAACGTGAATTTTCAATTTTCCCCAGCACGGTTTTTATCAACTCTTAGTTTTAACAAGAACAATAAAACTACAATTTGCAAACCAAAGGCTAGTTTTTAAACTACATAAAAACGAGTCACTTTTCAGAGTAGTGATGGCATTGTGTTTCGAAACAGCAACAGTTGTATTCAGCAGCACTTGTCAAATATTGGCATTTAAACCCTTAGAAATCGAATACAACGCTGAAGGGTGTTGAAAGGGCAGATATGTTCAAGTACATATATGAGGTAATGTACAGATGCAGCTAGTTAATATCTCAATCTGCAATACAGGCAGAAGTCCATTCAAATCCATCCATCGTTTCAAGTCAGTCGCCATCCACTCAGTTGCGTGTGGTTCTGTCATGGGAGCGCACAGATAGGTAATAAAGTGCATCTTGAAAAACACTTTGCTTACCTACACAGTGCTTGGCTATAGAAATTTGAAAAAAGAACTTTACAGTTTGTTGATGGGAACATTCATTTATACACACCTTTCTCCAGCAGCTGCAGTTATGATTCAGATTGGTTTGAATTACGTATGCTCTCCTGGGCAGCTTTGCTGCATTCTTACTTGAGGGTGCAGTCGAACAAACAGTGCCTTTTTAAGTTAACCTGAAGGTGGCTCACAGTAGCAGGTCCTTCCAGACCATTATAGGCACTGAAGATACGCTAGTCCACTAGAAAGCAATTGTGTGTTCTAATGTACATCCTGGAAAGATTCACATAGTAGATGGACAGCAAGAGAAATGTTCCCAGAACTACTGGATGTCGCAGCACCATTCTGTGGGTTAAGATTTCCAAAGGCAGCTATATCTCAGGAGCTTTTCATGCATTTTTTTTAAACTTGCAATTAACTGGTAGAAATCTGTACAGGGCAATTAAACTAAATTATTTTCCTCTCTCCCTTCCAACCACATACCAAATATCAAGTGGTGTGATTGTGCATGCAAAGCAGTACAAAAATTACAGCAATGCACTGCTTATAACCATCATTTTTCCAGAATAATAATCCTTGCATTTGATATAGCGCCTTATCATATTGTTGAGACGTCTCAAAGCGCTTCACAGAATATACTGAATTAACTGTATAAATGCATCAGTAAGTGACTCGTGACATTGTACGTTGCTGGGAGAGCCAGGAATCTTTCCTGTATTCCAGGACCTATTTCAGAATACAGTCTGCATGGTTCTAAGTTGTGATGGAGAGAGAAGGCAGAGGGAGTTTGGGATTTGCTGGTTTTATTATTAAACAACCGTTAGGAAAAGCTGGTTCTAGTTGACACATGACCCCCCCGCTCTGCCTGTAAAGCAATGAGAATCTGCTCTCTGGAATTATTCCAGCCAAAAATACAATTTGGGGGAAAGAAGAAAAAGATGGGTTTGCAGATCCCGATAACCATGGTGTAAGCCTCCTGCAGAAAAGCACATCAGCAATGAACCCAGTGCCACCAGGGTACTGAATTGGAGCAATACAATGCAATTGGAGTGAGGAAGCAATCTTTACAAGAATCTGTGGAACGTAATTAAAAATCAGAAACATTGGGCGTCCAGAAAGGTCAGTAAAATAATAGAAATGCAATCTCCAATCGAGCCCATTTGTGCTAGGAAGCAGCTGCAAAGGATCAGATTTGTCAAGAAATGCCACATAGTTAAATATAGCCAGGATAAAAAAAAGGTTACATTGCTATTCTGATAGATTAGAAACAAATCATATACAACTGTAATTGTCAACTGAAATAAGCAGATTTGTAATTTTAGCAATTTATTCTCCGACGGATCATATGTCATCTCTAAAGGCATCAACAACTAAATTAGTTATCCTGAAAAATGTAGGGTAACAATTAACTCCATCTTGTAATTTAAATGAAGGTGCACACAACCCGCGCTTTAAAACAAGGCAAATGTCTCGACTGGTGTTGAATCCTGCAATTTAAATACCACGTGTAGGTAGGAGAATCTGAACAGTAAATAAATGTTACACACTGTTTAATGATGACTCTTATAAATCACTTCTCCATCAAGATTTGAAGACATTTGGATAAATATATACAGTCAGGTGGACACAATTGTTTCAAAAAATTCCCATTCCGATCAGTACCATTCTATTCTGCTACTCAATCTCTACCACTAGGTGTCGCTAGTAACCTTTAACCATGTTAAACATGGCAGTACACAACACTGGAACGTTGGACTTCAGTAACGCAAAAGGGATTAGTGTGAAAACAGGAATTCAGTTCAGTCAAGAGTCAATCACGCAGCAGGTTTGTGAAGATCGCTTTCACCGATCAATCGCATCCTTAAACCCAATCCTAGATATTTGATAATTCATAGAACATTATGTGGGGCAGCAATTCTGAAAATAATGGGTCACTGCCTTAACCATCGCACAAGCAGCATGACATAGGTGAACAAGGTTATTTCAAGCTAACTGGGGCACTCAACCTGAAAAGGCACAAGTTATCACAGGATTTTTTTTATTTCCAGTTGGAAAACAAAAAAGACCTGACTTTGTTGAACTAGTGAATGAATACCCTTAGGCCCAACATTGCTCTAGTTTTAAGTAAAACTGTTTTAAACCATGTACAGTGAAACAAAACGTGTCTGTGCATAATCTCCACAATGGACCCTTTACTTCCAATGGGATTTTCCACCAACTCAAACCAAACGGGATTTCCTTGGAAGCTTTAAACCTACTGCACACAGAGTAAAGGTTACAAAAAAAAAAGTACTTTAGGTCAAGTCATCTTTTGAGTTGTTTTTAATCACGAATAGGGAACATTAAAAACTCAGGTGTTGTACACTATCTTGGCAAAACAAGGATGGGTTTATTTTGAGAATTTATCTGTGATGCCAACCTGTATTGCTATTGTTTTTTCAAAATCTACTTCTCGTAAGAAACCTCCTCATGATCTGTGGGTTTTTTGTGCTGTGGGAGGTGTGTGTGTCGAGGGTGGGGGCGGGAAGGGAAGGATATCAAGATCACCACGGGGACCAGCTGTCATTGAATCCAACTGTTCCACTTGCTGAGCCACAAATAGTGCTCCCGCTGATCTCCAAGCAGATATATACAAGAGATGTGCAACACTGAAACAAACTCTGATAATGCCTGCAATACAACCAAGGCTGGGGCTCAGCTGGAACTAGAGGTCTCCAGTTAAAATGGTTGCATGTTAGTGCTGCACATTATTTGAATTAGCACTGTAAGGGCAGCAAAATACTGAAATATCTAAAAAAAAAGGACTGTTTGCCATCTAGGATCATTTCAGACAATCTTGGGAGGGGAGATTTGTGACCTAAGCTTACTATGGGACAAAAGTGCCCCTGATGGAGACAAAATAGCATTGTCTCATTCATGCAAAGCTACATGGGTGATTAATGGCTGTGCAATATGTATCACAATATTCACCACACCCTCCCCCTTAAAAAATCTCTTCCCCCCTCCTATCCAAATAGGAGCCCAGCTCTCACACCAGCCCTCGCAGCCCTGTGCCCAACCCAGTCTGAATGTCTGAGGAGGCAGGTGGCATTGCAGCCTGATGGAATTTGAACATTTCTCCCCCCCATCCCCAATGCACAGGGAGGTGGGAGGAAAAAACACAGAGTACGAATCGGATCAATAAACATGTAACCAGGGGCTGTTTAATAAAATGTAGTTAATTGCAGTATGCACACAACTGCTTTCTTACCTTTCCAACAGATTTCCTTCAAAATATAATACAATTCCACCTACTCCACCCCTCCAAAAAAAAATGACTAGGGTCCCATTTCCAGATCCAACCTTTAAATAGAAGCCAGTGAAATTTTTTTTTGCATTTGATCACGTCTTCGAGACGTCTCAAAGCGCTTCACAGGATGTACTGTAAATTGACTATATATTTTGTGGGCGACAATAATTGGGAGAGACAAACTTCTTTTCTACATGGTACCCAGAGAAACAGTGCAGTCTTTTTTTTCAGAACCGTTCAAACCTATGGTTAAAGAACTTAGAAACAATTTCACGGTGTCTCAAACCCTGAAGAACAGCTGGATTGATCGGATGTACACTTAATGTAATTTGTGCGCAAGCCATGACAAAATAAAGAGTAATGTTTTGCTCTCCTTTTCCGGGTGGGGGGGTAACAAACAAGCTTTTAAATGCATGTTTTTAAATTAACTTTAATAATAATCCTTGCATTTGATATTGCATCTAATCATGTCTTCAAGACGTCTCAAAGCGCTTCACAGAATATAGTGGAGAATGAATTGACTGTATATTTTGTGGGCAAAACATTGGTTTTAGTTCATTCCAAAAGCACAACGCAAAGTCAGGGTGGAGAGAGTGCTTCCAGGATTTCCAATTGATTTCACATCAGAGACAGTATCCCTTTTAGCGCAGCCGTTACAGGCTTTTGAGAGACACGCCACACTTACTGCCCCTTACTATAAGCTTTCGGGGATAAGACTTAATTTAAAAAAAATATTTTAATGTTTCAAAGTAAATAATTATTCTCGAGCGATTCAATCTTCCAGGCAGGAAATCCTGACAACACTGACATCATCTGCTGAAAAAACACTCAAAAAAACCCTAGAAGGAAAAAAAAATCTGATAACACTAAACAAGTGCATGAGAACATTGTGTAGGCAACAGTTTCTGACAGGCATTACATATGGCCTATTAGGACTAGAAGAGGTATACTGTCTCTAAGTCTGTGACATACAAAACAAAAAAAATCTCAAGTAAAAATCAGCCTTTTTCCCCCCGGTTTCAGAATGATTGAAATGAAGAGAATCCACAAGCAACTGCTCAGACGTGACAGTGCCCAGCAGGTTCCCCGTGCTTCCATGGAAGAGTGGGGGGGGGGGGGGGGATTAGAAGGGGAGCAGGCTGTTGCCAAGGTGGGGGGGGGTGTGGTTTACAAGAAGTCAGGAAGCAACATCAAGGCTGTGCCCCAGCGGTGGCTGGAACGGGCGTCCCGAGGGTGTTAGTGGCGGAGATAACTGGTGAGCCAGCCAGGGGTCCCAATGGTGACGAGGTTGGCATTGCAGATATCCCTGTGTGCACAAACATTAAACATTTTAATTCTTAATTATTAAGCAACAACACTGAAAAGTACAATAAATGCATTTTAAAATCAGATGTGCAACTTCAAAGCGTACACCCGGTAGACTCTGACCCATCAGAGTTTGGTTTAAAGGGGTTGGGGGGAGGAGATAGCGGCAGTCTCTTGGTAGAGTGCCTTGGAGCAACACTGAATTCACTTGTTCACTGTGCGGAGCTCTGTTGCAGGGAGAGTCGAACAACAACTAACATTTGTATAGAATGGTCGCTCAGGCTAAGACTGAAGTTGTGTGTGTGTGAGTGCACAGGGGAGGGGTAAGAGCAGGGTTAGACTAATCAAATTGAAAACATATAGGCTAGACTGAAGATAACTGTGACATATTGCTTCAATTATTTACACACTGAATACGTCTGGCAAGTCTTGCCTACATCATGAAAGATTGAATACCATTGTTAGCTTATCCACACGTGTGTTACTGACCTGACATCATACTGGCCGAGCTAACTGGAGTGCTGCCGGTCGGCATGCTCGTACAGGAGCCCATTCGGGACTGGTCTTTCACAATTGGGTCTGTGGAATAAAACAGAATCCAAATTAAATGAACACTATTAAATCCTCCATACTCTAGTTCATACAGCCGCCATCGAATTTCAAGAGAATCTCATTTTAAACTGACCACTCACTCGCCTTGTCATTTGAAGTGAAAGTTATGCAGGCAAAGTGGCAGCAACACCTCACACAGTGAATCTTTTTGTTAATCTCTCAAGATGTTTTCACGTTGTACGGTGACGTATTAAATGCAAGTATCATTATTCAGGGCAAGTCCATTGAAAGCCTGAATGACCAAAGCTCATTTACCATTACTTCTCCTATCCCCGTGCACTCTGCTCCCTAAGGGAGGCGTGTACAAGTACAGGTGACATGTAAGCAACCACTTCCCTCTGTCCTTTGTACGTTGAGTAGTGCATGTCAACCTGCTACTCAACTTGCTCCTCCTTCAATAAAGCACTCAGCTCCACTCAATGTCTTTCTCAGATGTGGAATCTGGGAGCGTTGGTGGGGGGAGGGGTGGGAAGATAAGAGTAAAGCTGCACTTCATGGTCATGTCATTTCAGACTCTTGCCAAATTCCAACTCTTTAACTACGTCAATGAAAACGCTGACCCTGGAGCAGTCAGTCAGTTGTTCAGGGAGAGTCCAGACTCCTGAAGAAGTAACATTGAAATCAAGTAACATTGAGATCAAATACGCTCGACTGCACAGGTTCACTAGCAGTCAGGAAGCCACCTCCAGATGAGGATCAGAACAAACAGTCCAGTTCTCATTCACAAAAATGCACTGAAATGGTGAAGCAGTATTAACAGTAGCAGCTATGGGAAATGCAGGGACTCAAACCTGCTCACACTGTCAGCTAATGGAGGAAACAGTTGTTGAAGCTGTGTCCATCATGGCATTTGCAATGGAACTGGACGAATACTTAAGGGAAAATTATCTTAAAAATTTATGAAATGCAGATTGAAATAGATAGCTTGAGTGGGGGAATGTGGCCAAGTGGCCTCCTCCTGGGCTGTAAACATTCGAGGATTCTATGAAACAGAATCCAGGCCAAGTGATAGAATAGTCTATCACCACAAGACTATGCAATTTGTTGAACACCTCAACAGAATATGAGAAGACATGACAAGGCATCCCCAGAAACAGAATGAGATGCCGTTTTTAAATGGACCTATTTTAACGCAGGTCTAATTTTAAGGACACAAAATACATCACAATGAGGTCATTCTGTATTACTCCAAACCAATCTGGTATAAATTGCATACTACAGTGGCTACTACATACTAGAATGGCCTTGTGCATTATAATGGCAAAGAAACATGACCTAGTCCACATCTGGTGGGAAGCTGCACAATAATTATAATAATCCTTGTATTTGATATAGCGCCTTATTACATTGTTGAGACGTCTCAAACACGTCACAGAAAATATTGTAAAGTTGAGTGACAGTGTATTTTGTGGTTAAACGCAGCAGCCAACTGCACACAAACAGTCATGAATTGAGTTTTTACAAGCTCTCGTACAAGTCACTTACAAAAATAAGGATGCTCCATAGCTTCTCGTGCTGTTAGACGCGTTTGGTGATCGTATCGCAGCAACTTATCCAAGAAATCCAGCGCTTCCGAGCTGACCAGGTGCTGATTCTCGCTGTGTACGAAGCGCTCCCACCTTTTACGGGAATGTCTGAAAATCAACATTAACGAGATCACTCGGGTGTTGTTACAAATAAGATTGTTTTTAAAAAGGATTCAGTTTCAGCTCATTTGCGAGTCGAGTGAACAAATGCTGGGAACTGACCTGCCCAGGATGTCATTAAACCGAGGATCCAGTTCAATGTTGTACTTGTCAATGTAATCGTACAGGTCCTCGGTGCCAAGCACTTTAGCTATTCTGACCAACTTCAAAGAAAAGAGTGAAGATAAATTAAAGCCACTTAATAATAATAATCCTTGCATTTGATATAGCACGTTAACATGTCTTTGAGACATCTCAAAGTGCTTCACAGAATATACCGTAAAGTGAATTTGCTTCCCCCCCTTCCCTTCACCCTCCCCAATCCCGACCCCCAGCTCAGGTCCGAAACTCTGTCTGTCCTGCGCCTTGGAACGTCCTCCCAATGTCAAAGACGCTATACAAATGTCATTTTGTTGTTATTATTGTTGTTGAATTGACTATATATTTTGTGGGCGAATCGTAACAGCCAACTGCGCATAAGAGTGTCCCACAAACAGTTGTGGATCGAGAGACCAAACTATTTATCTTAATTTTTTTTTGAGGGATAATTACCCCCAGAAAAGCAATCCACCAATCGACAACCAACTGGGTTTCTACTTACTGCTAGGTAAACAAAGGAGTGTGGAGTAAGGAAATTGCCTAAGGTTTTGCCTGCCCGGGAATCGAACCTGGGTCCTCTCGCTTGCAAGGTGATTACTCTATAATCACTACGCTACAACTCCACATAAGAGCCTATTCAAAATGGAATCAGACCAGTTCTAGAAATTAAACAGCTATAAGGAATTAATTTTAAATTTAAGTTTTTTAAAAAAACAGTTAATACACAATCTTTTTATCAATGGGGGTTGGGGGGGTGGGGTGTGTGTGTGTGCGTGCAGGGTGGGGGGGTGGTGGGCGGTGGATTTACCGAGTTCAGCAACGTGAGGAAGCTTCATTACTGCATGCATGATGTGTGGTCGAAGTGGCAATGATTGTACGTACTGCAGTTTATTCACTTCCCCCACAATGAGGCTCTGTCACACCTCAAAGCCAATACTCGCAATGTCATTTATACAGTCAGTAAGTCCATAGCAACAAACAGCAAATATACACTTTTTATAACATTACAAGTCTAGCCAAGTCCATTAGGAAACTCAGCTGAGAAACCCTGCCTTACTTCACTGACATCCCTATAGACAGTGAGAAGAGCCATCATCTCAACCAATCTCACCAACCCCAAGAGAGTAAAAGTACATCATTCTGACCCACTGCATCATTCTGCTGCCTAAGTACCCAAAAGTGGCACCAATATAACTATTTCAAACTAAAACAGGTCAGGAATCTCTTTTGTATTCATAATTGAATGGATTTCTCTTTCAAAGCGCCAGCACAGACACAATGGGTCAAATGGCCTTCTTCTGTGCTGTACACATCTATGTTTCCATAGTAAGTCAACCAAAGAGATGAAGGAGATTTGCCTCCACTCTACCATCCAAAATGAAAGTTAAGGTGTTGCAGAATGACCTTTTTAAAAAAAACATTTTAAACAAATCTGACTCCTGCAACATCGTTCTCCTCCAGCAGGTGGTGGTTCTGCTCTATGTATAAAGATGCTATTACAAAGCATTTTCTAAGCAGAGACACACGAGCAGCAGCTGCAGTTGCACTGCTCACCCCACCCTGCATCACTGTGGGAGCCAGAGGAAGGAATCACACGCGTATACGCTCAAACGCCCTCATTCCACAGGATGACTTTTCGATTCACAGAAACTGAATGGTACCAGTTGTTCTTTGAGCAGCTGCAGTCCTGCCTGACCCACTTTTGGAATTAATTTTCTGAAAGCATTTCTAAATGCGATCACATTCGCTATGTATCTCAAAGTTTACACTGTAGCTCACTCCAAATTTGCATGTAAATTACTGTATGCAATGCCAACTGTGCCTTTAACATGAGGATTTATTCAGTTCACTGGAGGTTTGCAATCTAAATGTGTGCAGATTCAAAGGTATATAAAAAAATGGTCGTTTGCATATTTATTGCACTCCCTCCGCCTTGCCACCTCCTTCCCCATCTTCAGGTTGCGCCGGAAGACCTTCCTCTTTGACCGTGCATATGGTCACCTCCCCCCTTCCCCCGGCTCAGCGTAGTGCTCCACCACTGTCTACCCTGGGATGTTACCCTGTATAAATACAAGCTGCTGTTGAATTTGTGGTTTTCTCATCATCTCACATCCCACACGGGTCCACAAACACTATCGCAGTCAAACTCACTCTTCAGCAGAACACGTTCCCTTCCAAACCAGCTCAATGTGCTTTTACAGTACAGGTCGCCGAGACCCTCATACACGCATTCACAACATTCAGCCTCAACTACACAAAATCCTTGCTTGTCAGCCTCACTGTGTCTCCCGCACTAGGCTCCGTGACCCTATCACCCCCATCCTCGCACACCTCCACTGGCTTCCCATCACACAGAGGATACAATTCAAGATCCTGGTACTCACTTTCAAAGCCCTCCATGGCCTTGCTCCCTCCTACCTCTGCAACCTCCTAACCCCCTACCAAGCTGCTCGCTCCCTCCGTTCAGCGGGTTCTGGTCTGCTTCATGTCCCGCTTTCCCACCCAAGCATTGGTAGGCGGGCCTTCAGCCATTCTGTACCCAGCCTCTGGAAAGCCCATCCCACAGTCTTGCCCCCTCCCTTGCCTTCTTCAAGACCCATCTCAAGTCCCTCCTTTTCAATCGTGCCTTCAGTCACCCTCCTTACCACCTGCCCTCCACCTTCCCCAATCCTGACCCCAAGCTCGAGTCCAAAACACTGATTGTCCAACTCCTTGGGACATCCTCCCGACGTGAAAGGCTCTATACAAAGTGATCGCCAGTCACAACGCTGAATCGTAGGAACAGCACAGGAGGACATTCAGCCTATTGAATCTAACCCTGTCACTGGAACTGCATTCCCCTATTGTTTCCCACACAAGAGGGACTTTCGTCAGGTATGCTTAAAACTCGTACTCGTTCAAGGAGGGAGGGTGGGGGGAGAGAGCAATAGAGAGATAGATAGTGTTGCAGTAACACAGGGTGATAATATGCCATTAACCCACAATGCAAATGATTCCTAATCTATGCCACCAGGAAAAAGCACAGAACAGTGACCCCAACACATCAACACTGGGGAAATTAACTGGGGTAAGTAATCATTCCAGGCTGCTCTCATGTGCAATGTCCCAGTCAGTCAATGGGAATCACTGACTCAAAACAAAGTGGGTCTAGATTTGGAGCAAGCAGAACTCCGCAAATTGTTGAGTTCAATCTTAACTTTCAAATCAGGTCTTCCATTGTTTTTTTTAAAAAGAAAACACAGCTTCAAAATTAAGTTTGTATTTTCCAAAATTCTGGACACTGAAATGTTACACAAACAGAGTAAATCTAGGTCCAGGTGGAATTCCTCCCCAAAGATCTGCTCTGCGGGTCATCCCAAGGCTGGATCAACAAAGATCTGGTGAGAGTGAGAGAAATGTACGGATGTGCCCTTCTGGTCACAAAGCAACGTGTATGCCATCTGTGAAGGACTAAACAGTTTGCTTAAAATACCAGATTTCTTCACGAGAAGCTTTTGACTGAAGCAAACACTCCTTAAAAATTTGACTTTAACATCTTACCTGATCGTAGTTATCGTGCCCATGGAAGAAGGGCTCTTTTCTGAAAATCATGCTGGCCAACATGCATCCTAAACTCCACATGTCTAGACTGTAGTCATACATCTAGAATCAAATAATCCAAAGGAAATCAGAATTTAAGCAGCAATTTTTTTTGTCCATGAACAACTGTGAACCTGTCCCACAGTCCCTTCGCCTCGCCCCCTCCCTTGCCACCTTCAAGACCTTCCTCTTTGACCCTCCTACCCCCCCCCCCCACCCGTCCTGATCCCAATTTCCAGCTCGTGTGCAAATCCTTGACTGTCTTTCACCTTGAGACTCCCCCCCCCCACCCCCCACCTGACTTGAAAGGCGCTACAAATGTCATTTTGTTGTTGAGCAAAACCCTTTAACCTGTCCATCTCACAAGAGTAAGTTCCACACAATTATTAAAGTCTCTCTTATCTGGAGAAAATTACGTCACTTATAAAAGTAACATCACTTATAAAAACCTAATTCAATCGGCACTTTCATATCTTGTGTCCTGTTGAACCCAGTGACAAAGGAAATAACATTTTCTCACCTGATAATCTACAAGTAGTTCGGGTCCCTTGAAGTACCTGGAGGCCACTCGAACGTTGTATTCCTGCCCTGGATGATAGAACTCTGCCAGACCCCAGTCTATCAGCCGCAACTGTGATCCCAGATACAACAGAAAATAATAATAATAATCCTTGCATTTGATATAATGTCTTTGTGACGTCTCAAAGTGCTTCACAGAATATACTGTAACGTGAATTGACTGAATATTTGTGGACAAAATGTGGCAGCCGTGTGGACAAAACTGCATGCAGCAGTGTCCCACAAATAGTCGTAGATTGTGTGAGCAAATAATTATTATTTTTATTTTTGAAGCGATTATTACCCCGGATCCACCAATCAACTAACGACCGGGTTTCTACTTACTGTTAAGTAAACTGAAGTGTGTAGAGTAAAGAAACTACCCAAGGTTTCGCCCTGTCTGGGAATCGAACCCAGGTCCACTCGCTTGCAAGGCGATTGCTCTAACCACTAAGTACTTGACTCCATAAGAATTAACAGGGACGTGTGGGGGTGAGATGTTGCTTGTCATCTGAAGAGAAGGGATCAAGAATTGTTCAGNAAAAAATTCCAATTGAGGGTGGGATAATAATAATCCTTGCATTTGATGTAAGGCCTTATCACGTCATTGAAACGTCTCAAAGCGCTTCACAGAACATATTGTAAAGTGAATTGACTATATTTGTGGGTGAAACGCGGCAGCCAATTGCGTCCAGCAGTGTTCCACAAACACTTGTGGATTGAGTGAACCCAATTTTTTTTGAAAGATTATTTATTAATTATCTGAACACGTTGCAAACCATTCAGGCAAAGGATTCAATTATATCAAAGGATATTAAGCAATATGGAATATTAAGAAAAACAGATAGATAGGTATCAAATAGGTTCTATGTGTGGTCAACACAAACAGGATTCCACACCTCATTGACCCTGGGGCTCGGTGGTAGGATACTAGACGGAATGTTAGTCAGGCTGCAACACACTAGCTTTTGCAGCTAGTGTTAAGGGATCTCCAGACCAAAGCTAATTTAAGGCTTAACCTTGTGCGATCTAAAAGTCAGGACCTAAATTTGCTAAATAATTCTGATTATGACAAACATACTGCAGCTATGGGAATAATTAGCATCTTCAGAGTGAAGATAGCTCTTTTCTTCAATTACACAATGCAAACTGAGGAGTGCAGTGTAACTGCGACTTGTCGCTTGCAACACTGGCAGAAGATTGTGGATTAAGCCCAACAATGGCTGACACGCCAATGCAGTGATAGGAAAGCACAGCAATGTCAGAAGTGTTGCTCTTCAGATGAGACATTAAACTGAGGACCCAAGGCCAGTTCAGCTGGACATTAAAGTTGGACATGAATGAGTTTCTCGGGGTGTCCTGGCTAACAATCCCCAGATAAATTAATCATTCACTTAATGACTGTTGGACTTAACATTGCGCAAATTGGCTGCCGTGTCTGCCTACAAACAGTCACTAAACTTAACAATTACCCATGGAGAAGTTTCAAGGTTAGACATTATGTATTAAATGTAAGCATTATTGCTGAATTCCATAATTTCAACAAAAATGTTCACACTTCCCAAAAACGAATGGATATTAAAATGAATTGTAATTTGATTAAATTAAGGTAAGATTTCAGCAATAACTGTCTGTAGAGAGAATTTTATGAAGCCCAGCCACATTGATCTATTCAGCTTTTTTTTTTTTTTTGAAGGTGGTACGACAGGTTGATAGAGCTGTTAAAAAAAGCAAATGGGATCCTTGCTTTGTAAATAGAGGCATAGAGTACAAAAGCAAGGAAGTTCTGCTAAACCTTTATAAGTCACTGGTTAGGCCTCAGCTGGAGTATTGTGTCCAATTCTGAGCACCACACTTTAGGAAGGATATCAAGGCCTTGGAGAAGGTGCAGAGGAGATTTACCAGAATGGTACAAGGGATGAGGGACTTTATTTAAGTGGAAAGACTAGCGAAGCTTGAATTGTTCTCCTTAAAGCAGAGAAGGTTAAAGGGAGATTTAGTAGTGGTGTTCAAAATTATGAGGAGTTTTGATAAGAGTAGATAGGGAGAAACTGTTTTCACTGGCAAGTGAGTTGGTAACTAGAGGACATAGATTTAAGATAATTGGCAAAAGAACCAGAGGGAAGATGAGAAGATTTTTTAAATTTTTATTTATTTATTTTAAACGAACAGGGTTGTTATAGTCTGGAATGCACTGCCTGAAAGGGTGATGGAAACAGATTCAATAACAACTTTCAAAAGGGAATTGGATAAGTACCTGGAAAAGGAAAAAAATTGAAATGATATGGGGAAAAAGCGAGGGCAGTGGGACTGATTGGGTGGCTCTTCCAAACAGCTGGCACAGTTACAATGGGCCGAATGGCCTCCTTCTGTGCTGTAATATTCTATGATTCTAATATTTATCAAAGTTATCAGGGAGTTTAAAAAGGCATTTTTGGACACTTGCAAGCAAAAAAGGGAGCTGGTTGGAGTCACCTTGGCTCAAATCCAAGTTTCTAAATTGCACTAATAATAAATATACATCCTTCAAATTAAACAGCTTTAAATGGGACAGGCGGAATGGGGGGGGCGACGACAATGGAACAGATAATGTCAACTGCCATAACATAGAGGAATATAAAGAGGTAAAATACATGCACCTATAAGAACTAAAATGGCTAATCTTTATTATATTCTGTCCATTACCTTTCTGTGCTCATGATCAATCATAACGTTGTGTGGTTTAACATCTCTGTGCATAATCCCCATACTGTGGCAATAATCCAGAGCCTGCAAAACACAGAAGATATGACTAGATCACCGTCCATACTTTATTTCATAAAATTAACAAGTGATTTTCAATAGTGTAAAAGTTCATTTACATTGCTTACAGTGAAACCTTGGAACTAGGACAACTCGGCTCATAAGTTTAGCCACAAATATTCCCAATTTCAGTCATGGATATACAAACACCAAATTCACTGGTCCCAGTGAGTTCTTACTCCTGTGAAGTGCTTTGAGTTGTCTTGGGGATATGGTAAGGCGCTACATCAGATATAAGGATTATTATTACCAGAAAGGTTTATTTTGTGGCAAAGTTTGAATGTTTTTTTCTGGAAAAAATCAGGCATTCCCAATGTCAGCTTTTAAACCTCTGGATGGGAATTCAAATCATGTATTGAGGGGGGGTGGGGGGGGGGGAAGAGGACAAAGTTCAAAGAATTGGTGCTGCAGAGTTCTAACATGGAAACTCAAGGTCAGTCACCAAATCGCCTCAGTAACTGGGGCTAGCACAGGTCTTCTTTCAATTTCCACCAAAGTAATGCAGATGGAAAGTCAGTCTCTCAAGATTAAAATTTAGGGGCACATTAAGCAAACAACAGTCTAAATAAAATACAAAATTACATTTCTATAGTGCAAATGTCGGGAGGACGTCCCAAGGCGCTGGACAGTCTGGGAAATGTTTGCAGCATTAAACATTTAAGTTAAGCGATGTAGAACTCCCCAATCTCACCCCTGCTGCGGCCATCAATCTCACTGTACAAGTCCTAGACCTGTAAAACTCCAATGATTTTCTGGCTGAGTGGTGCAGTACTGTGTATTCGGAATAGACATATGGCAATTTCTTTCCTTTTTTATTAAAAACAATCCAAACCTCTGGAATGAAGCAGGTGGGATTTCCCCCTTCCAAACTTGTTCTACGTTTTTTTACTTTAAGGACAATTTATCTATTACTCTTTAGCGTCTTGAAAATTGCAATAAGATCTTATCTGAGCCATCTCTTTTAATGTGAATATACTCAGTTTCCCTTGTATTCTCTTAACACGGAAGACTAATTCTAGCTATAAGGCCTGTAGCCATTGACTTGAATGTCAAGATTATAATAATCCTTGCGTTTGATATAGCGCCTTATCATGTCTTCGAGACATCTCAAAGCATCGATATACGGTGAGCTCAAGAGGCAACTGTATATCTTTCTTGAAAAGGAAAGACTGAAGGATATAGTGAGAAGGTGAGTGTGAAATCAAAGGGAAACGGGCTGGTTGAGTCAAATGAACCTATCCTTTTCCTTACAACTTGTATCAAGCAGGAAAAACTGAAATCTAAACAGTGGGACCGGGTCAGCCAACTGCTTTAAACCATAAAAGCTTACAGATGGTTTAGGTCAAAAGAGGCCTGAAATTTATTGTGGCCTCAGCTGTCGTTCATGGATAATTCTTAAATCCAGTCTTAATTTGGAAGCCAGTTTTCCAAAGTTCTTCCAAATTATTTAAACCATTTACCAAAACTCTTACATATTAAGACAGTAGTCTTATGGCTAAGCCCATGGAAGATTGCAGATCTCAATTAACCACATTAATGTTGGAATCATCTTCATCTCTAAACAATTTTGGCATTCTCACAGCACATTAAATTATAGTTAAAACTATTACAAAAATACTTTCCATACCTTCAAAATCTCATACATGTAGAATCGTATATCATAATCTGTTAAGGTCTGGTAAAGCTGCTGCAGGGAACAAAGAGGGAAAACAAGTTGAAAACATTTAATAATCACACAAAATTAGAGCACAGACCAAAAAAAAAAAGCTTGTTATCGTTTAATATATTCCAGTTATTAACAGGAATATAATGTCTGAAAGCAGGATTAAAGTGAGCAAATGTAAAGGGTCAATCAGGGCATTCTACACACGGTCACCCTGAATGAACAGAGTGTTGCTGAATGGAGATTCATCTCTTAATATTTCCCCACCAAACAATCTAACCCTTTGACCTTGTGAATAGCACCCAGGGGGAGGCGGGAATAACTGGGTAGACACCCTGGCTATTTTAATGCAGAATGTTTCAGAACTTAGCCAAGACATAACAGTACAACCACGAAGGAAAGTACAAACCAAGTGCTTCACATTGGGGATGGCAGAGGACCGACTACAGGAAACACTTTCAGAAACATTTTACTGTAACCGTGAAGGAAATCCTAATCAAATCTTCGCTTCCCTCCAGCCCTAAATCCTTTTTTTGTTAATAAAGAGAATGGAAGTTGATTAACAATAAAATGGTTTTAACAAAAAAAAATCAAACCTAGCTGGTGATCTCTTCCTGAATAAAAAGCATGCTCTTACCTTGAAATCTGTGTTGTTTACATGTTCAAAGACCAATGCAGGTGTCCGTGACTATGAAAAAGCAAAAAAGCCACCCAGTCATAAGCCTTTGAAGAGGACAACATTGCGTACAAAACTACACCAATCATTGATCTGTTTTTTGCCCTAAAAGATTTGCCAGGTAATAATAAATGCTGAAATACTAGTTTAGAATGTTTGCAACTTTTCTTTAATCACAGCACACTGTCTTTAACATATACTGATGTACAGAGCTTTAACACGGAAGCCCAAAGAACTGGCTTGCAGATAGCCCTGGGAAAATTACTTTAATATAAATTTAGTGGAATAAAAAATTTAAAAAGGCATGAATTTTTTTCCTGACCATAAATATCCAAATCCTTTTAAATAATAAAGAATTCATACATATTGCGGCAAACCACTTTAATACACCGCACATTCAGGATTTCTTTTTAATAAGACTCCAAGTACTTGCACGTAATGAATTAATCACCTGCTCAGGAGATTTAAAGTTCATACTGGTATTCTGAACTCTTAATACTTTAGTTCCCTTTGAAAATAGACGTCCAAGGTGTCTCTGAAAGCGGAACAACATCTTGCATTTATACAGCGCCTTTCACATAGGATAATATCTCGCAGTGCTTTGTAGGGATTGTGTAGGATGCCTGGGAGGTGACTGTAGGTGCCATCAGAGGCAGAATTTCAAGCGGTATTTAAAAACAGAGAGATAGAGGCCAAGAAGGCAGAGTACTATAAAAATGCTGGTTCTTTCTTTCAACCCCCAACAACATGGACAAACATTTAGCCAGTTTGCCCCCGCTCTCAGGAATTCTCTACCAACATCCCATCCCTACACTCCTGTGGGCAAATATGCAGTTGCTTTATTCCTACGCAAAATAAACGGTCACTACATTTTGCAGTAAATCCTGTGAAGCATTTTGAGATGACCCAATGTGAAAGTGCTATACGAATGGGTTGCTGGGTAAGCAACACATTCTCCTATCCTGCTTCAATGAAAAATTTATTGATCTGAAAATATTGGATAATTATTCTCCCATCTTGAAGTAAAGGAAGTGCTGGAGGAAGCTCGACTTACCACAGGATCTTTGACAATATCTATGAGTGTGATAATATTTGGGCCTCCACGCAGGTTCTCCAAGATCTTAATTTCACGCTTTATTTTCTTCTTCTTTACGGGCTGCAAGCAAACGTTAGTTTTAAACGTCAGATTACAAATTAATAATACATTTGGAGAATAAACCTTTTACCATATAATGCAAATAAGAAATACCACTCTATAACAGTCAATCTTTCAATACATTTCCCACCATTTACCCCATTTCATAGAATCATAGAATTATACAACAGAGAAGAAGGCTATTCGGCCCATTGTGTCTGTGCCGACTCTGAAAAGAGCTTCCAATCAATCCCACTCCCCCGCACTCTCCCCATAGCTCTGCAAACATGTCCTCCCCAAATAATTATCTGCTTCTCTCTTAAAAGTTGTTATCAAATTGGCTTCCACCACCCTTTCAGGCATTGCATTCCAGATCCGAACAACTCGCTGTTGGAAAAAATTTCTCCTCATCTCCCCTCTTTCTTTCAACAACTATTTTAAATCAGTGCCCTCGGTTTACCGACCCACCCGCCAGTGGAAGTAGTTTCTCCTTGTTCATCCTATCGAATCCCCTCATAATTTTGAAAACTTCTATTAAGTCTCCTCTTAACCTTCTCTGTTCCAAGGTGAATAATCCCAGTTTCTCTACTCTCCTGATAACTGAAGTCCCTCATTCCTGGTACAATCCTGGAATCTCCTTTGCACCCTCTCCAATGCCTTGACATCCTTCCTAAAGTGGAGTTCTGTAGCTCAGTGGTTAGAGCACTCGCTTTGCAAGCGAGAGACCTCAGTTCAATTCCAGACAGGGCGAAACCTTGACCAAGTTTCCTTACTCCACACAGAGCCTAATAATAATCCCTAATCACACAAAACAATAATAAATTGGTCATTTTCAATCTACGACTGTTTGTGGGACATTGCTGTGCGCAATTGGCTGCCGCGTTTGCCCACAAATATACAGTCAATTCACTTTACAGTATATTCTGTGAAGCGCTTTGGGACGTCTAGAAGATGTGAAAAGCGCTATATCAAATGCAAGGTTTATTATTATTATTACAGTGTGGGGCCCAGAACGGAACACGGCCTCTAGCTGAAGCCTAACCAGTATTTTATAAATTCTGTGCCCCTATTTATAAAGTCTAGTATCCCGTATGCTTTTTTTTAAACCAGCTTTATCTACCTATCCTGCCACCTCCAAAGAATTACTTTTAGGAATCTCCAGGTCTCTGTGTTCCTTCACCCCCTTATAAGATTGTCCCATCAGCTTATATTGCCTCTCCTCATTCTTCCTTCCAAAACATATCACTTCACATTTCTCCACATTAAACTTCATCTGCCATTTCTGCCCATTTTACCAGTCTATCTATGTCCTCTTGGAGTCTGCTGCTATCCTCCTCAATGTTTACTACTTTTCCAGCTTAGTATCATCTGCAAATTTAGAAAGTGTACGCCCTATACCCCAGTCCAGGTCATTTATACAGATCAAAAAGAGCAGTGGTCCCAATACCGACCCCTGGGGGACACTACTGCACATTTCCTTCCAGTCAGAAAAACAACCGTTCACCACTGCTCTCTGCCTCCCTGACAATTCTGTATCCGCTGCCACTGTTCCTTTAATGTCCCACAAACAGTCGTGGATTGAAATGACCAATTTATAATTTATTTTTGAGGGATTATTTTTCAGTAACCTTGGATGTCTTGACCAGGTGACTTATCTACCTTGAGCACCGTCAACCTTTTTAATCCCTCTTCTCTGTTTATTCTTATCCTATCCAATTTCTCTACCATCTCCTCCGATATTGTGGCATTGGCTGCATCCTCTTTTGTGAAGACAGATGCAAAGTACTCATTCAGTACATCAGCCTCCATAAGATTTCCTCTTTGGTCCCTAATTGGCCCCACCCTACCTTTGACTGACCTTTTATTCTTTGTATACTTATAAAATACCTTAAAGGTTCCCGTTTATGTTGCCTGCTAATCTTCTTTCATACATCTGTTTGCTCTCTTATTTTCGTTTTCAGTTCTCCTCTGTACTTTCTATTTCTATTTGATTATCTTCTCTATTTTGGACCTGACATAAGCCTCTTTTTCTGTTTTATTTTAATCCCAATTTCCTTAGACATCCAGGGAGGATTGGTTGCCCTATCTTTCCCCTTTATGGGAACGTATTTGTTTTGTCCTTGAACTATCTCCTCCTTGAAGGCTTCCAATTGCTCATTAGCTGTTTTTCCTGCCAGTCTTTCTTTCCAGTCCACCTTGGTTAGGTCCCTTTTTAACTCACTGAAATTAAACATCTTACAGTTGAGTATCTTCACCTTTGATTGTCCCTTGTCCCTTTCTATAAGTACTCTAAACCTAATGATGTTGTGATCACTGTTGTCCAGATGCTTTCCTACTGAAACCTGCTCCACTTGCACCACTTCATTCCTCAGAACTAGATCCAGCACTGCTTCCTTCCTTGTTTGGCTGGAAAAGTAGTTATCCAGAAAGTTATCCTGCAAACATTTCAGGAATCCTTACTCCTCCTTGCACTTTACACTGTTATTTTGCCAGTCTATGTTAGGATAATTGAAGTCCTCCATTATCAATATTCTATTGGTTTTGCATCTTTCTCTTACTTTCCGATTATCTATCTTTTCTTTCAAATTATCTATCCTTTCCTTTAGCAATCAAATTGATTCTACACATATGGTCTTCTATGGCAAGGCTTGGACAATCCCCCAACTCTGTGTAGGAAGACATGTTATTGTTGGGAAAAAAGTGTAAAAACGTGTATTACAATAATAATGAGTTTCGTCCATTCACAGTATATTCTGTGAAGCACTTTGAGAGTCCCAAAGACGTGATAAGTCGCTATTTCAAATGCAAGGATTATTATTATTATTGTTATTATGAGTGAGCTCTGCTAATGAAAAGCATTCTTTAATGTTTAGTAGATGAAAATATTCACTTTCAGTGGCTGGCAACTTTTATGCAGTGCAGCATTTTGGAGTTTTCTTGCCATTTATAAGTAAAACTAGGCACGAATGCTATTTAAAGCAGCCGGGAGATCAATTATCACAAATCATTCAATGTTAATGGCTATTCTTCAGAACCATTCAGTTTGGAATGTTTGAATTAAAAAGAAAAACACACGACACCCATACCAGATGTGTTAGAAAGGTGGACACAGTATGGTCCAGAGTGAGGAGAGAAGGGTGTAATTCTTGATGAGGATCAGTTTCCAGTATCTGCATCTCAACCTTGTAACTGCAGGAGAGAGAGAGCTAAACCTAGGTTACACAGGGCGGGAGGGACAAAATTAGGCAGCCACCCTTCCCTAATTTCCTCAAGTGTGGGATTAGCAGGGGCCTGGGAAAAGGCTGGTCTCCCAGTTGAGTAATTAAGCGTGCCTGAAGCAGGCATTATAAGACAAGCTATCATTTGAGTGGGTTACAGGCATCAGTACTGGGGCGTGTCTTACCTTTAGTATTTTAACAACTACTTTTTCATTGTTTGTGATGTTAATGGCTTCAAATACTTCACTGTATTTCCCTCGGCCTAATTTTCGCACTAACTGGTAGTCATCTTGGTTCCTGCACAGAGAGAATACAAAGCATTAAGATACCTGAAATTCGCTGCAATTTTTTTTAAGTTGGTAAAACAATTCATAAAAACTGGGACATACTCTAGCCACAGCTGTCTTGGTGAAATTGAAGGATTTACTGTTTAAGTAGTCATGTTAATAAACTTTTACCACAAAGTCTTAATTGGAACTCAAGTGCATTTGAAAATGTGAAGGAAACTACACTGTAAAGAAACCTTCGTGACCACAGCTCCTTCTAAGGGGCTCCTTCACCAAACACATGGCATAGTCCAATATTAGCAGAATGAAGGACAGTCAATTACCATACCACCCCATAAGTGACCTGGTAATCAGTGCATATAAAAGGTTGGAATCAACAAAAGGTAAACACTCCGCCCCCCCCCCCACCCACACAATAAAACTTATATTTGTATAGCGTCTTTCAGATCGGTAGGACGTCCCAAGGCACTGGACAGTCAGGGATTTGGACCAGAGCTGGGAATCAGGGAGGATGAAGGGCAGGAGGGTGGCCGAAGGTTAGGTCGAAGAGGAAGGTTTTGAGACACACCTTCTGAGCGGAGGGAGCGGACCGGTTGATATGGGATACATATGCACCAAACAAAATCTGGAAATAATCCCTGATCACCTGCTATTTTATATTAAGTATGTAAAGATTATTTTCCTTTTCTCGCCCCCTCCACTTGTGTAAATGTCAATTGTCTATTGGCTTCAAGTTATACGGATTTGTTCTCACAGTCACAGAGGCAACTGATGTCAAAAGATGAAGTGCGAAGTCACAAGCACACAGCATACTGAAGTTCTACCAGAGCGGGCAGGCAACACAATAGAAAAAGAACCTACGTGCTGCGAGCTAAACTTTGGACCACATCCCTTTTAAAAACAGGACTAATGAAAACCTGGGAATTAGTTACAGCAGCAGTTCAATTAAAGGGGATGGTCTGATGACAATAAATTGCCAAGAGGAAATCAGAACAGTTCACACAGGGCACATGAACTTCGATATTCGCTGACTGACTGGAAATATCATGTGGCCTCTTATTGTTAACTTATTGTAGCAGTTCCAGCTCAATCAGCTTGGGGGCTTCATGGTGGAAACATGAACTATATACGTGCAGCAGAAAGAATAAATACTACAAACTTGATTTAAAAAACATGTGTGCTGATTACCAGGAATTATAATACCAATGTCCTTTTTTTAAAAAAATGACACAGAACAGCATTGCACACATGGTGCACTGAAATCCTCGGCTACAATTTGTTCAGATGGATAGAGTAAAACAGAAACAAATAGTGAGCAAGGCCTACATTTAGGACTCACACCTACAACTGCTTGATCCCCATCTGCCTGTTTTGTGTATGATACCACTGTTCGGTATAATGGGAAAGAACCACCCTGGCTCCTTCAACCATGACTGGTGAATAGTTGGGCAAATGGAAAGCCAGCAAATGCAATTTCATAACAGACCATAATATACCCCAATTGAACTGTTGTTGAGGCAGTCTTAAAACACAAACTGGATAGATTTTTGTAGAAGAGGAATATGAAAGAGTGTCAGGGAGCAAGCATGTGCGTGGGATCAGATTACGTGGCTCATGTCAAGATAAAAAACAATCCAGACTTGATGGATCAAATAGTGTCTACGCTGTAATATTCTATGAACAATCAGTAGACTTGTCACACACAAGCCACTCTCTGCCCACATGGGATTGAATACTGGTCTCACTATGTACCGTAGTTGTCACGAGACAGGCTTGTTTGGCATTAAATTATGGAAAACTTAATACAATAGTCAGTTTATTCTTCATAACCTATAAAATGATCAGAATTATTTACAATTGCAAGATCATCTGAATGACATTATTGTGTTTTTCCCAAAATAATCCCATGATAACTTCAACACTTCATTGGGATTAATTCAGAATGTATTTCGAATTAAAATAGTGCAGTTATCAAACCTTGCAATTTATGCTATTTTACAGATAATTTGCTTTATGCTGACAGAAGATCTGCAAACAGAAATAAGAGTATTTTCCTTCACATTTAATGATACTGTTTTTCCAGAATTTCAAACACACAAAATAAGGATTCAACACTAAACACTCACCTGTTCAATGGTATTTGACAAGTCATCAGATTAAAATTGGGTTGGGCTAATGGGCTAAGCGTGCTTAAAGACATACAAATGTCCTTAATTATGTAACCAACCAAGGTAATGAATTGCAGACGATTCTACAATCTATATTCAGATGTCCTGAATACGTAAGCCTAAATGATTAACACAATGTTCTGAATTTCATCTTAAACAAGGGTCTTGGAGGAATCAAAAAAATAAGGACAAGCACTTGTACAGAACAATGTCATCTTATATTGGAAGTATAAGTGCAGAAAGAGGAACAGCAAGAGGACTTTAAAAAAATGTTATCTGCAAAACAGGGTAAGTTTGTCAATTGTGTGAAATAGAAATACAGGGATCATAAAAATTCTATTTAACCCTCATCAGATTTAACCTATTTCACAACCAGGCAAACTGGACTAAGAATATTCAGGAATTCCAACAATTCAAATTCAGTTCAGGAAACAGCAAGCAATACCCATCAAGCATAAGTCACTGTGATAAACGTAACACACCATGTAAATCAGATGCTATGGCTGACACGAAAAATCCTTTCACGAGGAGCAGTACCTCTACCTGGAACTGTCAACCGGGCTCAAGAGTTGTCTTAAACAATATCCCCACACTGTTCTGTAAATGTTTGAATGGATTGCCACATGGGCCTAATCATTGTTTCTTTGCTTCTTCTGGATGGAAAAAATTCCAACCACCATTCACTATTCTTCCCCCCATCCCATCATGCCAAATAGACAACATACTCCTGAAGGCTCAGGACATTGCCATTTGAGCCAACCACAATGAAGGTGCCTTAAAATCAGAAGCTGCTCGGCCTCAGATTTTGCTTTACTCCTTCCCCCCAAACAAAAGCACCCTGTACAATCAAGACAAGGAACTCAGCATGTAGCCGTGACAGTGCTGCAGTGGTTAGCTAAGACGGAACGGGAAATTCATTTCTAGTCCAGTTCAGAAATATTGTCCAAAGCTTCTTCCTCATGCTTGGCTAGGCATGCAGTTAACCTATCTTGTCCATTTCTGTAACAAGTACCCCATAAAGATCAGCAGGTAATTCTTCTTCTCCACGGTATTCCAGGGACACATTGATCCGACGTAATCTTATTAAAAAAAATTGCAGGGCTCCCTTCATGGAATATCATGAGGAGGCGAGGCCCAAAGACAAGAGCACAAAACTAGAATAGAAGCCAATCTTATCCTTGTGCTTCTCTTATTAATTTAGAAACAGCATTTACTAATTTGATTTAGGGATTTGTGAAATAAAAGGTATAGTCACCTCTGTTCATTTTCCATACATTACAACATTCAAAGCACCTTGCACATGGATAGACTGAAAGGCCCCTCTTGCACCAAGATACCATTTTAATGTTATTAAAGATGTGATCATATGACCAGCTCTTTTGATAATATTAAAATGGATCAAAAATTGGCAATGGTATATCAGACCCTGGGCACTGCAACTTCAGACTACAATACATGCTTCAGACTGCCCTGTTCCGAATCGCTTTACTATCAACAACAGCAACAAGATGACATTTGTATAGCGCCTTTCACTTGGGGAGGACGCCCCAAGGCGCAGGACAGTGTACAGCATTTCAGTCCCGAGCTGGGGTGGGAGAAGGGATATCTTTCTATCTATCTATATTATATACATTATATATAATAGCTTATATTATGCAATAACAAAATGCTTTCAGCAGTATACACCAAATAGGATTCAAACCTTTTGAATTAAAGGAATTCAGCACTCAAAAACCACTACGCAATGCTGCATAAACATTTATTGAAAAAAATTAAGTGAGGCCCAAATCAGATTGGAGTTAAATCCCCGACTGTCCAGCTCCTTGGGATGTCCTCCCGACTTGAAAGGCCCCTATACACCTGTAATTTGCTGTTGTACTTGAAAAAACAAAATTTGATCTCTCAATCCACGACTGTTTGTGTGCAATTGGCTGCCATAAATATAATCAATCCACTTTACAGTTTATTCTGTGAAGCACTTTGAGACATGTCAACCTATTTGTCAGATGATACAATGGGGTACAAGTTACTTTTGTAGTTTATAAGCCTCATATCACAAAGCAATATTTTCTGCCAGGCTAGTCTTAAACTTTGCAATTTGACCTCTCCAACCCAACCCAACATTATACCACCCCAATACCATCCGGACGGACACCCAATAAATGTTATGATCAATTTTTAACAACAACTGTTTTGATTACTCATTTGTAGGTGGACAAACGTCTAAGCCAAGGGCACTTTCCATGAAAAAGTATTTGGAAGGGAAAAGAAAAAGAAAGGCCCATGATTACATCCTTCATAACAACATCATGGACAATCAAGAAAACTGCGATTTACCTCAAGACCTTGGGAATCAATATAAAAATTTACTGAATGTTTTTGCTCTTTTAAAAATAGAAACAAATGAAGCTATCTGGTCACAGTTACAATAGCTATTGCTTGGAGGTCTAGTGAAACCATTCCAATTTGAAGAAACTTACCCCCATTCCACGACGTGAGATTCATAGTCCCAGTACTCTCGGGGTTTGTGTGTGTTTACATCAGTGTACACTCTGGCCCTGCTTGGCACAGGTCCTGCCATGTCCGATAGCTGGAAAGGCCCGAGGAGAGTTCAGAAGCAGCGGATGTGAAACAGCGGGGCAGCTGGGGAAAGCCAATTACCTTCAAACTCGGACAATGAATGGAGCGGGATCAGCCTCGCTTAATCGACTCTTTTGCACTGTTAAGAAAAGAGCACAAACATTTGATGAAGTACACCAAGTCACAAATACAGAATACGAAGAGTATGGTGTATGCCAGGGTGGTCCTGTGAGTCAATTTCATCCACTCCTCCATTTCATCTGGCCCACCCGCTCCCTCCAAACCCATAAATGTTGTATGTTATGTTTCTGGAAGGGAAACACAAAAATATTGCTTATGAGCCATGCGGACGTTTCTCAAATAGGGCATCCGGCCCTCAGCAGCCAAAAGTTTGGACCACCCTGAACTGTATGCCAATAAAAAGCCTTGCATCTAAAATGACTTCAGTAACTGCAGGAATAAAAGGTAGTGGCATCAGAAGGCAGAATGTTCTCTCACATCTTGTGATGTATATTTTCTAAACGAATGAAAGTGGTGAAATTTTGGAGCATAAAGTTATGAATATTCAGTGCTAACTTCTGTGTTTTTGGAATATAATTAGGGCTGGATAATTTCAATAAAAATATTATCGGTTACACAAGATGTCTATGTCATGTCAGTCTGAGCAATAGGAACATTAATCCACTTATGGCATCATCTGATAGCTCTGATAGCTTGCAAATGGGATCCCCTTTCCAATTAAGACACATTTTGCACGCTCAAAAAATCTAAGTAGACTTGAATCAAAATACTCAGGACCAGCCTACAAAATACCAGCCTTCAAAATGCAAGCATTATTTCTCCCAGGAAGGCAAAAGTGCCTTGAAAGGCTATGAAGATGCTTTGTGGCTCTACGGGATGCAGTATGACAATTTGATAGGATAATTCCAGATCTCTGTGTTCCAGTATACAGCCCTACAATCCGGTTGGCAGAAACAAAATCATAAGGGACCCCAAAGGGTACATTGGGATACTGCTGGAGATGAGCCAATTAAATCCATGCAGTTTATTGGTAAGAGACACTAATAAGCTTCCACCCTAGCTGAACAAGATTGGCTTTGCAGAGTTACAAGAGCCAAATGGAAAGAATCCCACCTCTTAGTGACATTACAAACACTCCAAATCCCAATGGATCAAAGCAAGCTGGTAAATCATTAATAGCCCTAAGCACTGCAGACCTGCTTGACTCAGGTGATGGAATACCAAGTCCAGTACAGAGAACTAACTCAGTTATGTTCTCCAGACAACAGATGAGCCGCCATTGAGCCAGACTAACCATGCGTACCCCCTCCCCCAGGAAGAAAGCCGCTGGGTGAAATAGTCACATCAGATTGTTGATGAAATCACATTTGAACTTTCATCCAATGGCCAGCTGGCATCAAACGCTTCCCAAGCTACATAAAGCGGGTCAGCACAGTTAGCACTGTCCTCCAGGGCATTACCTGTACTAGCAATATAACCCATTGATTTTCAACACTATAGGTGCAAAGCTTTAAGCCTTGGCCTTTCCTCATCAATTTTTCACCAACATCTTGAATGCTACCCCTTCATTGCAGCACAAAGACCCATGTGGCGTATGTAACACTGAACAGCCATCTCAAAGTATCACAGTTCCAATATCACATACAACACCATTTACATTTATTTAGCATCTTTCACGTCGGGAGGACTTCTCAAAGCACTTGACCACCACCAACTGCTGAATCCGGGTCCTTATTATAAAAGGAATTTGGCAAAGAGATAAGTTTACAGGCTGCCTCTGATTCCAACGGTAGAGTCACCATTTGGCATAGGCAGTGACCTCTCTCTTTCTGCAGCAGTCTGCAATGAGTCCCAGTCTTGATCACAGTCCATTGACCCCCACTAGAGGCGGTTGTGTGTGGATGCTGGGTTAGAACAGGTTGGGTTTTCCTGACGGTATTCACTGTCCAGGATTGCACATGAATAATGGCCAATTAAGCTGGGTACTAGGGGCAAACAAACAGAGCCTCTAGTAGGAAGGAAAAACAGTCAATTTATAACTTTTGCCAGGCGTTATAACCAGCAATTAGTTGAGAAGGTTTCCACCCACGGAGCTTAAACTGTTAAAATGATCTGCTTGAAACTCTGTAGGGCAACCAACAGGGCACTTAATGCAGCACACAACGCAATTCCAATCAACTCACAAAACAAGGCCGCAAAAGTGAGAATACTGCAACATTTAAGTAAAAATACAATGGAACAGTGCAATATAGTGCATTAAAAGTGCAACATTCTACCCGACTTTCCACAGGAATAAGAATTCCTGTCTATCCAGGTTAACTGCATTTATTTTTCATTTATACTTTACAAAAATACATATCCTGTATTCAAAGTTCTGTAGCTCAGCAGTTAGAGCACTTGCCTTGCAAGTGAGAGACCTGGGTTCAATTCCCGGCAGCGCAAAACCTTGGGCGAGTTTCTTTACTCCACATGCCTGATAATAATCCAGCAACAAAACAATTGGTCACTTCAATCCATGACTGCTTGTGGGACACTGCTGTACATAATTGGCTGCTGCGTTTCGTCCACAAAATAGTCAATTCACTTTACAGTATATTCTGTAAAGCGCTTTGACACGTGAAAAGTGCTATATCAAATGCAAGGATTATTATTTATTATTATATCGTCCTGTCAACCTTTTGAAAAGTGTTGCATTATACTGTACTTAGATTTGGAAATAGCACTACCACTATTGTGTCAATTTGGCTCAGGTGGTAGCCCTCTCATCTCTGATTCAGAAGCTTTGGGTTTCAGTCCTAAATCATGACTCATGTAGTCTGACACTCCAATACATTCCTGTAGGTGTGCCATATTGTTGGGATGTGCTATCCTTCAGATGAAACATTAAACTGAGGTCCCGCCTGTCTGAGGAAGTTAAACATCCCAAAGCACTATTCAAAAAATAAAGGGAGTTTCTCCTGATGTTCTGGTTTCAACAATTGGTCATTTATTTAATGGGTGTTTTTACAACATGACTGTGTCCAAATCGGTTGCCACGTTTGCATTCAAAATAGAGTAAAGCCTGTGAAGCTTTTTAAGGCTTCCTGCCGACATGAGAGGCGCAAGTGTTTATTAATAATCTTTCAATTTGATATAGCGCCTTATCACATCTTCAGGAGACATCTCAAAGCGCTTCACAGAATATACCATAAAGTGGATTGACAGTATTTATTATTATTACTGCTGCAAATGTCCACGCAGTTTTTTGTTCTTCATATTTCTTCCACAGGAAGAAAGCAAATCAATTGGCCTGTTCATGATGGAATCTTTACACTGTTCAACATGAAATTGGATTACCATTTTCTTAAACTAGTTTCAGTTATCGCCTCAATATTGGTTAGACTCCACCCCACCCCCACCACGAAGATGCCTACATGACCTCTCCTCAGTCTAGAGGATAATTTCATTTTGGAGGCATCAGTTAAGTCTAATCCTGAAGCTAATGTCTCAAGCTAATTCTGCCTTTCAAGACAGAAATCTACCTCATTTAGGGCTGGAAACAATGGGGTGATGGGGGAGAGAAGATCCGAAAACAAAATTAAATTGAATGGATCAAGTCACGAAGATTCCTAACCAAATGAAATCCGAGCCGTGAGGTTTTAACCAAGAAGACATGAGCAAACCAGTGATCCAGCATCTGTGGCCTCTTCAAAAACCACAAGGTCAGAATCGAAGTCCACAACGCGTTGTTTACCAAAAACCATTTGATCACTAAATAATAGAAAGCTTCTGGTCATTAAATAATATAAATAATTATCTGACTATCCCCAACACCAAGCTGCACTTTTCACCTGCACCCACCTTTGCTTTGGGGACATTATACACACAACCCTGATGAAATCTGCCGACTTGGACCTACAATTCACAGACCCGTGAATGCAAATCAGTTAAGCACTGCCTCACACCCCCACGCAAGACTGATTGATTCAGACAAGTGGAATGTTACAATTTATGCTGCTTTGGACATAATTGTTTTGCCCACAAAATATACAGTGAATCCATTTTACAGTATATTCTGTGAAGCGCTTTGAGGCGTCTCGAAGACGTGATAAGGCGCTGTATCAAATGCAAGGATTATTATTATTATAACTGAGAACTGCAGCGCTATCCACTGATCACAGCAAATGATGTAAAATTTGGATAGAATACCCCCCCCCCCCACGGGCATCTGCAATGCTGCAAGCTCTCAGGCCCAAAATGATTATTTACTGAATGTCCTGGTGCTATTTTCTGGCAGTGCAGCATCAATACCGGACTACCCTTAACTTCAACTGCATTGACAGAATATCTGATTTAAATAGTTGTTCTTCTTTCTGTAGAAAGAAGTGAGTGCACTGATGCATTACATATACACTTATACCCGAATAGCTAAAATATGCATGTCAGATTTATACACTATTTTAAATAATTTTCAATTATGAGAAAATGTTTTTTCAAATCGAAATTCAATTCTGTCCCAAAGTGAATGACATAATTCCAATTTTTATTCCTGGCGAACCCCAAAAACAATTTTATTTTAGAGATGGACGATCTTAAATAGAAACTCAAGACCAAACAATCATTTTTTTTCAAAGAACAGGGTTAGCGAAAGATTAGTAGTGCAGGGACAAATAACCTTTGTATTATGAGGGATCTGATAACAAGTTGTTACATCCATCCTGGCATATACAAGCATTCTAATAATAATAATAATCCTTGCATTTGATATAGCGCTTTTCACGCGGGAGGACGTCCCAAAGCGCTTCACAGAACACACTGTAAAGTGAATTGACTGTATATTTGTGGGCGAACGCTGCAGCCAATTGCGCACAGCAATGTCCCACAAACAGTCGTAGATTGAAAATGACCAATTTATTATTGTTTTTGGTTTTTGGAGGGATTATTATTAGGCTCTGTGTGGAGTAAGGAAACTTGCCCAAGGTTTCGCCCTCTGCCTGGAATTGAACTCAGGTCTCTCACTTGCAAAGCGAGTGCTCTAACCACTGAGCTACAGGACTCCACATTCT